GGGGTAGCTTAGTTGTTATACGTTAATCAACAAATTCTTACGGACATCTTCTATTTGTCAGACACTGTTCTAGAAGCTTGAGGAAAAAGTGAATAAAACAATGTCCCTGCTTTCACAGGGCTCATATCCTAATAAGAAAAAAATGTAGAAAAAAAAAAAAAAAAAAAAAAAAATAGAAAACAGTAATTTTAGTTAATTATGTGAAAAAAAAAAGAAAGTAAAATGGGACAAAGACTAGACAATGAATGGGCATCTTAGCCCATTTCACGTTGCTGTAAAGGAAACGCCTGAGGCTGGGTAACCTACAAAGAAAAAGCATTTATTTGGCTCACAGTTCTGCTAGTTGGAAGATCGGGCATCCAGTGAAGGAAGGCCTCAGGCTCCTTCCACACATGGTGGAAGGTGAAGGGGAGCCAGCATGTGCAGAGATCACAGGGCAAGAGAGGAAACAAGAGAGCCGGGAGGGAGGCTCTTTATTTTATTATTATTATTATTTTTGAAATGGAGTTCTGTTCTTGTTGCCCAGACTGGAGTGCAGTGGCATGGTCTTGGCTCACTACAACCTCCACCTCCCAGGTTCAAGCAATACTCCTGTAATCCCAAGTAGCTGGGATTACCTGGCTAATTAGCTGGGGGTTTCACCATGTTGGCCAGGTTGGTCTTGAACTCCTGACCTCAGGTGATCTGCCCGCTGCCAAAGTGCTGGGATTACAGCTCTGAGTCACTGCGCTGGACCCAGGCTCTTTTTAACAATCAGCTTTCTTGGAAACTAACAAAGGAAGTACTCATTTATTCCCCATTCTCAGGGAGAGTATTCATCTGTCCGTGAAGGACACACTCCCATGACCTGAACACCTCCCATCAGGCCCCACCTCCAACAATAAGGATCGTATTTCAACATGAGATTTGGAGAGGACAAATATCAGAATCACAGCAAAGAGGAAGGGGGGTATATTTTAAATTGTGTGGTCAAATAAGTCATTACTGAGGGGGTAACATTTGAGCTGAAAACTAAATGGTTTTAAAAAAAAAAAGAACTATCCACATGAAAATCGAAACTTTGGCTTTCTTTCAAGAATACAAGATGGCTGCCATAACTTCAAGCATCACATCTTCACATAACAACTTCCAAAGCAGGTCTGGGGATTTCCCTGTATCAGGAAGAAAAAGATTTCCCACAAACCCCCAGCACACTTCCCTGGATGTCCCACTTGCTAGAACTAGGTCGCACACCTACCCTCCAACCAGTCACTGGCAAAAGAGTCTGGGATTGGCTGGGAGTAACCAGGGCTCCTCTGCTGGGATGAGGCAGGGGTATCCTTCCTCCTGCACCTCAACCAGACTGGCCTGCCATGAGCGAGGAAAAAGGGCAAAGCAGCTACTACAAAGATCATACTTGAGACTGTCATGCAGGATTTACTGAACACCTGACCATGTTCCAGGCACTGTGCTAGGAATTTTAAAAAGACCTAAGCACCACTTTCATTATCTCACTCTGCTACTGAAAAGCACTCAGTGGGGAGGCCAGGTGCGGTGGTTCGCGCTGGTAATCCCAGCACTTTGGGAGGCTGAGGCAGGTGAATCACGAGGTCAGGAGTTCGAGACTAGCCTCACCAAGATGGTGAAACCCTGTCTCTACTAAAAATACAAAAATTAGCCAGACATGGTGGCAGGTGCCTGTAATTCCAGCTACTCGGGAAGCTGAGGCAGGAGAATCACCTGAACCTGGGAGGTGGAGGTTGCAGTGAGCCGAGATCACGCCACTGCACTCTAGCCTGGGCGACAGAGCAAGACTCCATCTCAAAAAAAAAAAAAAAAAAGAGCACTCAGTGGGGGTAACGCCCTTTTCCCTCCTCTTCACCATTTCAAAGTCCCTGGACTGATGGAGATATAGTTCACAGCCACTTGCCTTCCTATAGCCTCTGCTCATCTCTTCAGCTCAGAATGACTCCTCCTTCCTCTCAACTCATAAACCACATTGCTTCCTTTGACAAATACTCATTAGACATCTGGGCCCTGGGAATACAATTCTGCTGAAAAGACAAGGTGCCTGCCCTCATAGAGTTTCCAGTCTAGTGCTACAGAGAGATCATTCAATACCCAATCACAAAGATGAAAAGTGTTACACGAGGGGAAATAGGAGGACCCACTCCAATGACCCAAACAGCAGCCCCCACCAGATGTTACCAGAGCACCTCAACTTATCCAAAGGTGTGGTGAGAGAATACATATTTGGAGAAAATGTCATTTAAGTCAAGGCTGAAAGGGTGGATAGAATTTAGGGAAATGGGAGTAGAGGTCACGAGTTCAGGGAGAAGGCAAGGCTTTTTTACCTAGAAAAATGAGCATGTGCAAAGGGCCAGAGGTGGGAAGAGAGAGTTGGAAGCAAGGAGCAGAAAGAAGTTCAGCATTGCTGGAAAAGAGTAGGAAGAGAGAGAGGGAGAAGTGTCTGTAATGACAGTCGGAGGCCAGGCCAATAGCAGTGGAAAGCTTAGGACTTCATCCCAAGGGAAGCCATTGAGAGACTGACATGATTAGGCTTGCATTTTGGAAAGGGCACTCTTACTCCCATACTCTATTGCCTTTCCCACGCTTTGGCCATACTGCAAACAGGATAACCAACGAGATGCCATGGCAACAGGCTGGACCAGTGTAGTGTCCGGACAGTGCGTAGTAACCAAAGAGATCCAGGACTCAGTGAACGACGCGCTATGCCTCGAGAAGGAGGACATAAGGAAAATTTCAGGTACTTCTGTTGGGCTTTTTTTTTTTTTTTTTTTTTGAGACAGAGTCTCACTCTTGCCCAGGCTGGAGTTCAGTGACATGATCTCGGCTCACTACAACCTCCACCTCCTGGGTTCAAGCAATTCCCCTGCCTCAGCCTCCCTCCTAGCTGCGATCACATGCGTGCGCTGCCATGCCTGGCTAATTTTTGTAATTTCCATAGAGATGGGGTTTCGCCAGGTTGGTCTCAAATTTCTGGCCTCAAGCGATCTACCCAACTTGGCCTCCCAAAGTGCTGGGATTACAGGCGTGAGCGACCGCGCCCCGCCCTGTTGGGCATTTTGAAGAATGATGGTGTCCTTCGCTGAGCTACCCAGCACTGGATGGTATCATTTTTGTACAAGTTGCGTTTGAGCAGCTTCCCACAGGGCACCGAACACGCTGTGTTTACTAATTAACTTTTTAAAATAGCCTTTCTTCTCCTCTGCCGCCTGCCCCTTTCATATCAAAACCACTCCCTTATCTTGGGTCACACTTTTCTCCGACAGGCCTATTTCGCTCTTCCCCTTTGCGTCCACAACCACATGAACAATGTAAAAAAGCACGGTTTATGTGCTTCTAGTTTTCATCACTGTGTCCCTAGAGAAAAATCGATACTTTTTTGCGAACCTACTAGGAGTCAGTTCCACCAGCCATCCCTAACACTGTGTTCCGCTAACGCAAACCTTAAGGCAGCGGATCAGACATTTAATGATGTCAGTGATCAATAAATTGCAATTAGTAATTGACACCAATCCAACATTTTTTTCTTGAAGGTCTTTTATTCACTATGAAAAAAAAACAACAAAACAAAAACCACACCCTTTAAAGACGAAGCTCACGGGACCAACACGAAGGGCCCAGGAGCGGTGTCAGTTCTGGGTATCCTCCACCTGGCCTTTCCTGGACTCGCGTTATTTACAATATGCAATTTCACTACTTGAGGTTATCAGGTACTAATTTTACAATATTGTGTAGCTACATGAAGCGGCTCAGAATATACTATACCACTCCGTTTTAAGCAGTACCATGTCTGGATGAAGCATCAAAGTGAGAAGGGTGAACTTAAAGGGCCTTTAAAACATCTTGAAGCAATAACAAGCCATACACTGAAGCAGCGGCGGTTTTAAACATTACACAGGACTGAAACAATTGAACCAATTTGTCCTTTGTTCCTTTTATTGCATTCGTGATTACATTAATACTGTTTAAAAAGAAACTCAAAAGGCATTAAACTTCAGTACCAATCTACACAAAGTCCACGAAGGGGCCTGGCTTGGACGAAACGCCCTACTCTGCCACCCGCGCGCAGCGCCCAGAAAGCCACTGAGCTTGAGGCGCTCCGTCCCTAGGAAGCGACCTGAAATGAGGAATTGCTGGGCCGGGCCCTCGCTCTGCAGGGGAGGATCCGACCAAAGTTTGCCAAGTTTCTAGGCAAGCCCGGCTGCGCAAATGCCGCTTTTTCGCTCCAGCTGCAGACCTGGCCCGAGGAAGCTTTGCCCCGGGGGTCTCCGGGCCTTCAGAGAAAAGTCCCGTGAGGCGGGGGGCCGCGTGGGCCGTCGGCCAGAGGGACCTGGCGCCCCGGGGCACAAAGAAACAGCGCGCCCACAGGGTGTCCCCTGACCCCGCTGACTCGGGGCCAGGCAGGCTCGGCGCGCCCCAGCGGCCGCTCTTCCCCTCCCGAACCCGCCCGGCCCACCCGCTCCTGCAACGCGGCCGCCTCGGCTCCGCTTTTCTCTTGCAGGGAGCTGAGTGCGCTCGACCGAGGAGGGGCCGCGCCGGCCGCGGGGCCCAGCCCTTCCCGCCGCGCCCGGGACCGCCCTTCTCTCCGGAGCCGGCTGATTGATGGCCCCAGCCACTCGCGCCCCCCGCCCCGGCTCGCCCGAGAGCTCGGCTGTGTGTTTTGGAAGCGGCGCAGCGGGCCGCGGCCGTGTGACGCCGGGAGCGGGCAGCGCCGCCCTTCCTTCCCCCCGGGCTCGGGCGGCGGCGCGGCGGCGGGGCCGAGCGGGCGGGGCGCGGGCTCCGGGGCGGAGGGCGCAGGGAGGGGACGCGGGCGGGGACGCGGGGCCGGGCGGGCTGGAGGGGGGGCGGAGGCCGCGCCGCGCACGCCCAGCCCCACGGCCCCGCCGCGCCTCGCGGGACAGGTTGGGCCGGCGGGGCGGCGCCCGGCTCCGGGGAATAATGAGTGTCTGTCAGGCCGTCCCCGGGTGACTGGGCGGGGCGGGGCGGAGGCGGCGCGGGAGGCGGGGGTGGCGGGGGAAGGGCGCAGGGCGGGGTGCGTGTTTGCGCGAGTGACTCGGCCGACCCCTCCGGCGGCTGCCTCCACCCAAGTGGGTGGGGACCCGCCCAGCCCGGGCGGCCGCGGCGGCTCCCTCTCCCCTCCCTGACCCTCCCACCCCGGGTCCCAGCCTCTACTTACCCCGCCAGCCCCGGGAGGCTCGCAGAGCGAGCGGCGCCGGCGTCATGTGACTGCCCGGAGTTGGTGCCAGGAGCCAGAGGGGAGCCAGGAGCGGAGCCGCGCGGAGCCGGGGCCCGAGCCGGAGCGCAGCGAGAGCGCCCGCCGCACGCGCGCCCGTCCCCGTCCCCTGCGGCCGCCGCCGCCAACGCCGCCCTGACTGGAGCCCTGACATTACTGCGCTCGAGGGGCTCCAGGCAGCCCGGATCCGGGCCTTTATTTCTCGTCGGCGGCGCCCCGCACCGCGCCTCGCAAAGTAAGTCCTCTCTCCCTCACCTCTGCTCCGCGTCCCGGCCCCTGCCGCCCGCCTCCTCGGCCGCTCTGGTTTCATTTTTTTCCCCCGGAGGGGGCCGCAGGGAATGAGTTGGGGGGTGCAGCGCTGCGCGGGGGGGGGGTGCGCCTGCGGGCTTGGGAAAGTGTGGCAGCCCCTCGCAGCCGGGGTGGGGGCGGAGGGCGAGCACGGGGGAGGGGGCCACAGGTTGGCGGTGGAAAGTGAGGGGTTGAGGCGATGCACCGTGTGGACCCTGGGTGCGGAGGAGCGGGGGCCGGCAGCGCCCGCCGCAGTCCGGGGCAGGGCGCGGGCGGGGGCTCACCTGTGTGGTCCCCGGCCTCCGCCCGCCCGCTCACGATTCCCTCCAAAGCCCCAGAAATCTCCGTGCTCTCCGCGTGTGGCAACGTTGTTTGGAGAAAGGTAGCGCCGAGGCCTCGCGCTCCTGCTCCTCCCCCTCCCGGTGCCCCCCCAACCCCGACTCCCGCGTCCTTCCCCTCCCCGCCCTCCGCCCGCGCCCCCCGCCGCCCCCCTCCCGGGACCCGACGCTCGGTCGCTTGCCCGGCAGAGCAAACTTGGAGCAGCCTCCCGGGCCCTCTGGAAAGAAACTTGGGGCAATTAGGACTGGAGGCAGCATCCTATTCTCCGTCCTGGAGCCCAGGAGCTGCCAGGGCGTCTGGATCCTCCGGGGCAGGAGAAATGAGCCGGCCGGGTTTGGAGAGTCCTCCTGGGGGCATGGAGAGAACCTGCCGCAGTGCCTGGAGCAAGGATTGCAGCGTGGCTGAAGGCGGAGGACGCCTTAGGCAACTGCCTGCAGCCGAGCCTGGTGGGGACCCAGGGACAGATCCCTGGACCAGGACCCATGGGACCTACCTAACATTTTCAAGTGGCTTTCTTAGAGATGGCAGATAAGACTTGGAATTGTCATATTCATTTTTTGGGCAGATTACTACTAACAAGGAGAAACACTTTTCTGGTTTAAATTTTATAGCGGTATACAATAATACTAGAAGAATGTGCATGGGATTTAATAAGTCACGTTAAACGGAAATTGGAAATTGCTCACCTTCTTGTATTTCACTAAAATAAACATTTTACACTGAACCACTGAATTTCTTACTCAGAATTTATGTTTCCATTAATATCACTCAAGACACTTTAAATATATTGATTATTTTCTCATAAGAGTCTAGTATATGGGGAAAAGTATGAAGTGGTATTCTGACAAGTATGTGAAACATGCCAGCAAAAATCAAGTGGGGAATAGGCCAGTTGTTCATTATAGGTTTTTCTACACAGCAGTTTTGTGCTATCCTATCCTGTATGAATTTGAGGAGCATTTGTACAAGAGAAATTCATCGGGATGCTCTGCCTTACCCTAGGGAAGACTTGCTTTTAGGGGGAAAAACAGTCCGCTAGCATTAATATCTCCATTTTTTTTTTTTTTTTTTTTTTGGAGTTTGTAATAGTGTTTAAAGAAAGTGTCCACGAATGATTTCTTCTGGTTCGAAAAGAGGTTTGTTAGTTGACTTTAGGCTATTAATAGAAACCTGAAATTAGATGTTTGATTAAATTAAACTCCCTAGAGAAACTGATTTCTTCATTTCTGCAGTCAGTGGGCTTTGCTGCGAACTATTTATTAGAAGGAAAAAACCTAATGTACTATCTATCTGTAAGTTCAATGATGATACATTGTAAAGAACATTTAGCTTGCATGAAAGAGAATGCAAGTATGAAAATCTCAACATGAAAATAACAAAGAAAAGTAGCTGCTTAGACCGCAAAACCTTGTCAGATACAAAACAACAGAGCTTTGCAGAAAGCTATTGTTTTATTCACTGCAAAGTTTCTAAATTAAAACCCAATTTTCTTGCTATGGGCACAGTGATGCTTCTTTTTTTCCTTTATTTATTTTTCTTTTTTTCTTACCTGTTCTTACATCTGCACACACCAGATTCTTAAATCTCTGATAATGTGAGCTTGAGTTAAACAGTCCTGGCTAACAAAGTAAAGAGAAATAATGGGAAAGGAACTGCGAATGGATTTTACTATCTTAAAAATAACCCAAAGGGAAAATAGACATTTTAGAATGTCTTGTAGAAATTAGTACTCTGGCGTACAGATTGTGTAACAATTTTTAGATTAAATGTCAGAAACAGAATCACATTCTTAAAAGGTAAATTTCTGTAAATGTGTGTATATGCTGAACAGATGAGCAGCTCTGCAAAAATGTGTATAACTGCATTTGAAAAAGACAGAGAAAATTTTGGGTTGCTCTAGATGTCCCACAGTCTGTCTTGGAATTCTGTGACTAAAGGAGGCTTACCATTGCTCCAGTTTTAGTTCTGTGGGGTACCCAAATGTAATCTGAATTCCTAACAGTGCTCTGTCTTCATTTTCCTCTTGATGCACTGAGGCTGAACCATAACCCGGAATTTGACCAGAGCTAGGGACTAGCCATTGGGATGGGGCAGAAAGGGACAAAAGAAATCGGGAGGGAGGCTAGTGTTCATTAGGGAGGTCTCTGCTGCTTGAATATGATAAAATCACATTTCACTTATGATGTTTACTGTATGTGGCAGCTCTTATTTGTAAATAGGGCAGGTCCCCTGTATAAAGCTGGTGTTATTATTCACACCCATAGAACAAACACCTCCACCCCCCTGTTGTTGTCTTAAAAAACTCCAGCTGCTCATGAATATAGGGTCAGGGAGGGCCGGCTAAATGTTTCTCTGTGCTTTCTCTCCAGCACAGCCAGCAGAGCTGTTTCCTGTTCTTTGTTTCAAGGCTGGGGTTTGCGTCATACATTCCAAGTGGCATATGTGTGCTCTTTCCTGTTTCAGGCTGTTTTCTGGTAGATCAGTAGCCCAGAGCAGGCTGAGGTCCCTGCCCCTAAACTCCGTATCCCCACCCATGGAGTTATCATGTCTCTACACACTTGATATTGCTTAAGATGCCTGTGTTATGTCATAATGAGAAGTCAGTTAACCTTTTTACGTCCACCCTTTGCTTCAATGCATTTGTCTGGGTGAATACATGGTTTTACCTTCTTAAATTTTTCATTGCCACATTGTGATTTGGGGGAAATTTCGGTCTATCTTGGCAAAGAAACCTAAAGGAGTTTTGTTTTTGTGATTCTTGTGTTGAGGTGGTTAGGATGTTTGTTCTAAGATAGGCATTTTGCCCTGAAGCTGTCAATTTTGGATCAGGATTAACACCTTACAGTTTAGAAGACCTAGCATTATATGAAAGATGTGGCCCACCCTTGTTCACATTAACCCAGGATGCTCCAGGCGGCTTCGGTGGATGGAGAATTGAAGCAGTGTTGGCAGCCTGGGCTTAGTTGAAAGTCCTGCTTGTGTTTGGAAGAAGAAATCTTTGGAAAAATCATTGAAGCAAAGCATAAGACATTGAGAAAATCCCAGGATTATTTCTTTTTAAGGACAAAGATTTAAATATCAGGATAATGTTTTAAGGACAGAAATTTCACTGTACAATATTCTACATCTCATTTTCAACCCGTTCTTAAGAATTAAGCTCAAAGAAAAGGAGAACTGGCAATAACAAATTCATTCAGTGATAGATCGTTTGAAAAATTTTAATCTTCTATTTTGAAAACAGAAGAAAAATGCTCTTCTCATTTTCTTTTTACAATAACATTTTTCATTATTTTTTAAATATTCTGTCAGTTGTGGGTTAATGAATTTCTGAGTTAACTATTTAAGACCTATCTTAATATTATTTTTCTTTTGGTTCTTGATAAACTAAGATTTAAGGAAATATTTGGTTGAAAAAGAAAAGTTTTGGAAAGTTCTTTTATAAACTTATTTGGGGATTTTCTTTTTTAATCGAAAGGAATAATTTACAACGTCGCCATGGAATTAATTCAGTGTTGCTGAAGCAGCAAATCAGGCCCTCTGATCCCCAAAATTGATGATAACGATGCTTTGGCTTTAAATGTCACATTCCACCACATTCTTTATGTATAAATGGAAAGTATAAAATATGGTATTAAGAGAGTTACTTGGATCAATTACTTGGCTACTGATAACCTTCTATGAAAAAGGCCAGGAGTTTTGGAAGTCCTCACAAGTTCTTTCTCCTTTGGGAAAAGCATCTTAAAATACTAAGCTGACCTGCAGGACAAGAGGTTTTTAAGCTTAAAATTCATAAGTAAGTCAAATGGAGGCAGGGTTTTTTTGTTTGCTTTGATTCCAAAGTTGTTAACAATCTAACTAGGTTTGGTAAACAGAGTCTGCATTTGGCTTTCGGAAAACTCTTTCCTCTCCCTTTTGCAGGGAGATGAAGTGGTTGATAGAGGTGATCAGGGCCTAATATAGTCTATCAGAAAAACATTCTGCAAGCTTTTAAATGCTAAGCTGAAAAGTTGAAGAAAATTTTACTATCTTATAGTTGCTATAATTACAAAAAAATGGGAATGAGCTTTATTTGACCATATAAATAAATCCTGATTCTTAATTCCATTGTGTCTCCATCTCCCCTTGAGAACTTGCCTTCTTAATATTTTCAAATCAACATTTTTGCTATAAAATGACAGCTTTCTTGGGTAGTATTTCTTGTTCTCTGTTTTCACACCCAGTTGTGTTTAAAAAAAATAAATATAGGTAACCTCATTTTTTAAGGTACTGAGAATTAAATTATTCTGGAACGTGGACTCTCCGAAGTGCTTCGTTTATCATTGGTTCTAGCTTTTTTAAAAAATAAATCTGTAGAACCTTAAAACAATTGATGTCTGGTTTGCTAGTACGTGATATTCTAGTCAGAATTCCTCTTGGAGGTGAGTTGGATTATGATGGTCGCTAGCATTCTCGTTTTGAAGACCACTCTGTTCCTTTCTTAGACCCTGTTTCTCATCTTAAGCAGTCATGCCGGAGCTGGAGACAGGAAACCAGACAGCAGTCTGCCCTGATAAGGGACAGCATTGTCTGAAGGGGTTAGCCCTACTTTTCCCCCCAACTCAGCTCTCCTTCCTTGAAATTTAGTAGTCATAGAAGAGGCACAATGCTGTTGACAGTTTCTGAATTAGAACTAGGATTAATTTCCTCCAAAGCAAAAAAAAAAAAAGTCTCCTCAGCCAGGCGTGGTGGCTCACTCCTGTAATCCCAGCACTTTGGGAGGCCAAGGTGGGTGGATCACCTGAGGTCAGGAGTTCTAGACCAGCCTGGCCAACATGGCGAAATCCCATCTCTACTAAAAATACAAAAATTAGCTGGGCATGAGTTGGGCACGGTGGCATGTGCCTGTAATCCCAGCTACTTGGGAGGCTGAGGCAGGAGAATCACTTGAACCCAGGAGGCAGAGGTTGCAGTGAGCCGAGATCGTGCCACTACTCTCCAGCCTGGGCAACAAGAGCAAGACTCTGTCTCAAAAAAAAAAAAAAAGTGTCCTCTTAACTGGCCCTGTCCTGATTCTGTTATGTGGCCATATCCAATGGAATATTTGAAAAAAAAGAAAATGATCTGTATGTTTTGTATCTGTTGGCCAAAGTTTGTAGTAAAATTCTTTCTTTAGCAAAACAGGTTCCTGGAGGTTTTTGAAATTCACTCCATTGTGTCGGCAGGCTGAATTCATTATCATTTCTCCATCTAATTATTTGGAAGGGCTGGAGACAGAAGAGAGCAAGTTCAGTGGCCCTCTAGCCCATGTATTTCATGTGACTCCTGGGTCTGGCTCTTATCCTGTTTCCAGTAAGGGGTTGCTCCTTGAGGCAGGCCCTTTGCAGGAAGACCCAGAATTGCCCTGCTTAGTCCAGGACATCCTCAAGATGGTTGCCAATCTCTGGAAGGCTTGGGGATCCCGCCAGGGATGGCCCAGAGCTAGTCTTAACCCAAATGAGGAGTTTGGCCAAATCTTGACATAAGAGATCCAATGGATATTGAGGTCAGCGGGTTCTACCCTGGAGAGCGACCTGTGAATCAAGCGTGGGGTTTTTTTTCTCCTTTGGCCTATGTGTTCTTTCTACTACTACTGTTGTTTAAGTGTAATCACTGAGATCCACTCCTTTATCTTTTCCTGTACTTTACACCCCTGGTACCTTCCAAAGCTTCACACTCCAAAGCCACTTTCATTTATAAGATCAAGTTCCTGTTCCACTGAGTTTCCAAACAAGGGAGTTTTTCTCCTGGGCTCCCAAAGTTTCCACGTTTACTTTGCATTTTAGAATATGAGATGTCAGGCCAGCTTCACTAGCTGCTGGACAGCGTTTCCATGTGGGACACCTGGTGTGCCATCATTCCAGGGCCCTTGCCCTTAATTTGTCGTAGCATGTGAGAAGCGTAGTTTGACATCCATTCACTTATTCATTTCACAAGTATTTATTGAGTACCTACTTATTAGAGCTAATCTCAAATTATGTGCAATCATTACTCTGAGTTGTACCATAGGATGGAGTAGACCTGCAGTGATCTAACCTGAAAAGGCATTTTGAAATCTTAATTGCCTGCTGGAACCTCCCCGGCCCCTGCTTCCCATGGGCCAGCGTGGCCGTGCACACCCACACCCTCCCTACTGGGGAGTGACCCCAGCATGAGGAGATGTTACCTAAAAGTCGGTCCCACAGCACAGGCTCTGAAGCAGAACAGAAAGTGCCCGGGTCTGCAGGCAGGAACACTTCTGTTCCTGGCTGCAGCTCCAACCAGCTTTGTGAAATTGGGCAAGTCGTTTCACCTCTGTTCCTCCATTTCCTCATTTCTAAAATGGGGATGAGGACCTGACCCTTCCACCTTTGTACAGTTATTATAAGGATTTCCATATTTACTTGGGTCAAGCTGCCAATTTTTCTCAGCAGTTATATGGACAATTGCAGGTGCACTGGCTAGGAAGAATAATTGCCTAATTTGGGGCCTTCAGAATATGTCTTTTGATCTTGCATCCAAGTGTGCATACTGAGACAGGGTGGGCAGCAAGGGCCAGTTGGGAGAAGTGGAAATGGTCACTACCGTAAATAGACTGTCCCTACGTTGTGTCTTCTCCAGGGACCAACCTGTTCACAGAAATCACTATCCTGCACTTACTGTGTGGTGTAATGTCCTCTGTTTGGGGAGGTGGTAGAGTGATGTGCCAAGGCTACCAGTCTTGAAGTCAGACTACCTTGGGTTCAAGTCCTGGCTCTGCAGGTTAGCAGCTGTGTGATGTTGGGCAGATTACTTGACCTCTCTGTTTCAGTGTTTTGTTTTGTTTTGTTTTGTTTTCAGTAAACTGGGAAGGTAGTAACCACTTCATAAGCATTAAATGACAGAGCTCATGTAAAGAACAGTACCTGGTGATTACCAATCCTGAAGGTGGTAGTGATTGGCAGGAAACCTGGGACATCACTTAGCCCCTTGCTTTCCTTGACCCTTTTTCAAAAACCTGTGTTTGTGTACACACCCGTTCCCCCGGCAGTTTCCCCCCCTCCTCCTCGCCTCCCTTTCTCGCTCTCTTTTTTCTATTTTAGATTTTAAAACACAGTTGAGAGCTCGACACTAGACTTGTTTAGAAGACCTCACTGAGTAAATTCTTTGAAGATGGTACTGATAAGGTCTCTGGAGTATAGGTTGAGGGGCCAGGCTAAGGTTAGGGACAGTAACTTGTTCTTAGGAAGTTTGGTTTACTAGGTCTCCCTTAGAGTTAGGCCCTTCACCACTGTTACTTGTTTAAGGGAGAGATTTCAAGTGCATTCAGAGGGAGAGGGAAATGATTGTGGAACTCCTGCTATGAGCTAAGTGCTCTTACCTTAGCTCCTTCAGCTTGACATAAAAACTTCATTCAGGGAACAAGCCCGATCTCCTGTGGGGAGTGGGGAGGGGGCCCTCTCAGGAAGGCTGAGGCCTGCCTGCCTGTCCTTACCAGTACTGCTGGCCGTGTGGCACGCACCACTGGGAAAGCAAAAAGGCCCAGGATATCTAGGTAAGAAGAGGCGGCCTTGGATTCCCCCAGGGAGCAATCAGCTGGCTGCCAGAAGTGGGGAGGGCCTTGAGCTGCTCTTTGAAGAATTAGGAGGATTTAGATAAGCCGGAAGGGGAGGGGGCATTCCACGCTGGTTGCCCAGCATCAGGGCCAAAAATGAACAAAGGCCTGGGGGGTGGGCAGGGCAGCCAGCATGAAGGGCACTTGTTGGATCAGGGGGCAGCTGGTGGGGAACGGGGTGCCAAGCATGGGTGCCTGAGCCCACTGTCAGACCTGGGGAGTACATGGGAGGGAGGTTTGTGAGCTGGGAAAGGACAGGAGGAGAAGAGGACTGTGAAAATCATCGGTGATCAGGGGCTAGGGCTGGACTGGAGAGGCCGAGAGACCAGTGGCAGAGAAGCTGCAGCTAGCTACACAGGCCCCCGGGGCAGGAGTGGAAATGGGGAGAGCTAAGGAGGTGAGGACGGCTTTGGAGTTGGCCTCTGGGTTTCCATGGTGAAGAACCAGAAAATAAGGCCGGTGGGAGGTGGGGAGGGGCAGCCTTAGAGGCAGGAATGAAGAGTAGGGTGGGCTTGGGCCACGTTGAAAGCGGAGGTTCAAAATGCTCCTCTCTTTTCTGTTTATTTTTACAGGGAGAGGGCAGGCTTCGCTCATAGTTTTGTATCCAGAGGTTCAGTGGCTTTCTGGGAGGAACTTCAATGGAGAATCCTCAGGAGTGGAGGGAATGATCACCACCCCACGGTTCCTTCTGGTTATTTTTAAGGTTCCAACCATCCTTGTTCAGGCCGGAATTTCCAGGAACTGGCTGCTGCCCAGCGCCAACTGGTCCCTCCCAGCCTCCTACTCCCTGCAGGGTGGGGCCCCATGGGTGGAGGCTCCTGAGGGTGGAGTTGGGTGGGTCTCCAGTGATAGGGAGGGCACTGAGCAGAGGCAGATGAGAGGCAGCGTGGCCTCACGCAGCCCTTCTGGATTTGATTATATAACGCTTCACAGAAGAGAATTGTGAGGGCTTAGGCGAGGCCTTATGAGATATGTACACAGCAGGATTAGACATTATGGGTATTTTTCAATTTAGCTTGGGTTGCTTGCCCTTAAAACTAAAACACAAAATTGTCAGAGAGCATAAACAAGTGTGTAACCCTAGTAGGGAAAATGATTTGAGTTTGCTGTAATTTCTCTGAGAAGGGTGTGGAATGCCACTAGCCAGATGGCCTTGAACTTGCCAGGGTAGCATGGGTGTGGGCGTCCCCGCCCCCAGCCCTGCTTTGCTGGGCCTCCCGTTTGGAAAGGCGTCAGGCTTTTGCTTGGTTGTTACCTTTGCACCTGTCCTTATTGACATGCAAAATCAATTGCTTCACTTGGTCTTTCCGAAGTACAGGGTGTGGGCAGAATCTTATCTGAAGCCATGTCCTGTTTGGACAAGTTGGACTTGCCTTGGCAGCCCTCCATAGGGTGGAGCAGATGGGTGGAGCAGGAAAGTAAAATTGGGTGGCTTGTTAGCTGAGAGAGGAGAGAGGGCGGGCTGTTTGCTCACTGGATCATTATATTTCATCTGAAACAAAATAATTAACTTCTTTCCCATTTACAATGCACATTAATGCAAAATAACTAATTCACAAGGGTCAAAGATTTAGAAACATCCCATGGAAGTTTTCTACTTCTCAAACCAGCGATAGAAGAGTAAGGCAGGTGAAAATCTCGGAGTGGCATGAAAATTTCCAAGAATTTCCAGGTGGGAATTTCCAGGTAGGTGCCATCGTGCTTAGCTTTTCTTAAGGGAGCCTCCAGCTTAAAAATGCCTGCTGACATCTGTTGCCTGTCCCCTGTATTTCTGGCCAGCGCAACTGCCCGTGAATACTCGAGCCTTTGGGAGATTTTGAAGAATTTGGGTAAAGCAATGAGAGAAAAGTTTCTCTGGACAGGAAGTTTATTTAGCTACAAGGATGTTGCTTGCCTGCCCGGTCCTCCTAGCCAATAATTACACACACATGCACACACAGCCTTTTTTTTTTTTTCTCTAAAGTTCCTTTGGGGAGTAAGGGTGGGGGAAGATAACATGTTTCCCCTTTTAAAAATTCAAACACTCCGAAGAATAAAAAGGGCCGCCTAGTGAAGGTGTGTTGCCGTATTGCTCCGTACACCTAGCTGAGGTCAGCTAGGAGACTGAGGTTTGCTTGGAGGAAGGCAGGTGAGTTGGAGGTTCACGGCCAGTCCTGGGTTGGGGAAGATAATGCAGGGACCCTTTGAGGGTCTGCGGGAAGAAATGAGGGCATGGAAAAGGGAATAAATAGGGAGATAAGAAGGGAGAATGTCAGCGGCAGGTCTTGCTCTAACCCCAAGAAGCAGGGAGGAAACTGCTTCTGATAGGTACACATTGTCTCTCCACCTTCCTCTTCCCTCCTCCCTCAGAAAGGGGCAGGCAGTCATCTCTAAGGTCGTTTCTGTAATAAATCATGCTGTAGCCTCCAGGCAAGCTGCTTTCAGAGGAGGTTTAGTAACCTCCTAGCCTCGTCTTCCATGAAGGACTGCGTGTGTGTTTCTAAGCCCTGCAGCTCACCTGCAGCACTGCCCCCACCCCACAGAGCAGCAGTGCACAGGCCTAGGACACCACTGGATGGGGCTCCAAAGCGGGACTGCATTACTTCTGAAATTTCATGTCAATGATTCACCAAGCATTTTAATCTTCAAGCCCTTTAAGCTATGTCTTGCATTTTGACAGAAATTTGACCCTTATTTTAACATGGGAAAAGTCAGAAATATAGGTGGAAAGAGTGTGAAGGGAAATCCGTTTCTCCTTTTTGAGGATCATTCAGTATTATTGGCCTTTCTCTGCAAAATAACACAGCTGGGGAAGATGGCATTAGCTCCAGTTATGGAAAATTATTTTGGCGATGGTGATCTTCCTATATATTTTTGCTTTTAAGCACCTTGATAACGTAGAAAGTTTAATAAAAAGCTTTTCCCTTTTTCCCCCCCTTTTAGATGCAGTTTTGTTTTCCTGATATTGCTTAGTTTATTTAGCCTTAGAATGTATTTCTAAGACTAGCTAATGTGTTTCTAAGGCTAGCTAAGCTAGTTAAATGTAATGAAGATATGTGTTTAGGATTGGAAAATTGTCACCAGAAAAAAAAAAAAATAGAACCACATTTAGGGCCTCCTCCTCTCTGTGATACTCACATAAAATGATTAATAGAATTCCTGAGCCTGGTTAAAACCCAGTAGGCTTTAAGACCCTGACGTTGGCAAACTGGATTTTTACTGGGGTGTCCTGGTCTCTAATGCCTGTTTTAGTGCGCCACCTACTGGTTCTACTTAAGATTGCCGTCAGTGCTGTATAATAGATTTTCTAGGCATTTGTGGTTTATTTAGCATTCTTACAGAGTGATAATAACCCCATTACACTGAGCCGCCCATGGGTACCAAAGACCACCAAGTTTAGGGACCCGAATTCTTCCAGTGCTTAAGTTACTTCTCAGTTATGTGGAAAGCACGTTGAAGACTTTACACTCTTTTACGATTCTAGACCAGAACCTGTAAGCAAATCCGTCCCAATGACAGAAGTGGTCCCTCTACTCAGAGCTATGGGTGCAAAGTATAGAATCTTTTTGCAAATACATAAACAAAAGCCCAATTTCTGTTCATTTGTTTGATTTTCTTTCTAAAATTTCATTCCTTCCTAGTTTAGCTTCCCTATCTTGTCTTTATTACAAGTTTTGATTATTGCAATAATAAACTTGGCCAGGTGCGGTGGCTCATGCCTAAAATCACATCATTTTGTGAGGCTGAGGCAGCCAGATCACTTGAAGTCAGGAGGTCAAGACCAGCCTGGCCAACATGGTGAAACCCCGTCTCTACTAAAAGTACAAAAATTAGCCAGGCATCATGGCAGGCGCCTGTAATCCCAGCTACTTGGGAATCTGAGGCAGGAGAATCGCTTGAACCCAGGAGGCAGAGATTGCAGTGAGCCGAGATCGTGCCACTGCACTCCAACCTGGGTGACAGAGTAGAACTCTATCTCAAAAAGAAAAAAAATAGAAATAACAAACTTTAAAAATAGACCACAAATGTATAGAAAGCTGTCCCACCCACCACCACTACCCAAGAAGTTCCTGTTAACAGTTTTGGGTGTGTGGTTCCAGGCGTTTTCTTTGCATGTCCTTTATCTTCTTGTTTTATATCCTGTGACTATCACTAAAAGCATCGTCATTTAAAAGCTATTTTAGAAGCTACCCAATTAGGAACAAAGTGCTTTTAGACCTGTGAAATAGTGAGTGCGTTTGATTCTATTCATTGTGATATTTGAATTCTGCACAGACTTTTTTTTAATATCCAGGGATGCATTATTTAGTTAGGAGTTTCAAAATTAGGTATTCTAATCCTATCATTCCTTTGTTTATTAACTGAAATACTTCTGTAATGAGAATATCCATTCATCAACATTTGGATTACTTAGAGGTACAGTTCTGACCAAATAAACATAGCTTTGTAATTATTTTTTAATAAAAGCAAATCAGGTTTTGTTAGTACCAGTGTTTTTTACTAGGCTTAATGTTTTTCTTGGGATGACAAGTCTTGCATTTCCTTAAACTTAGTTAAAACAAAAAAATTAAAGAACAATAGTGATTTAAATAATGCCTTAATGATAAAAAGATATAGCAGGTTAATGTATAATTCATTTCTAAAAGAAATCAGTAGTCATTGCTGTGGCCATTAGACAAAGTCATTGAAAGCTTTGTGAGCTAAATAGTGGACTTAGAATTTGAACCAAAAGGAACTCCAGAGCCCATCATCTTAATTTATTCTACTGTGCTGCAGTTAGTGGTAGTAAAGAGTGCAGGGTAACATGAAGTGTGGAGACGGCAGCCTCGCGCAGAAGCTGTGGCAGTAGTACAGTTGTGAAATGACAAGGCCTTAGAGGAGACCTCATACAGGAGGGAGGCAGCTGTTAACTTTGAAACTGAATCTAGTCTGAGTTTTATTTAAGGATGGGGGATAGACCTCTGAGGCGAGGGTATGTTAGCAAAGAGGCAAACACCAGACATTTTTGCTCCAAAAGTTGGAACCAACACATTTAGTGTTGTGTGTACAGAATATATAGCCAAAATGTATGTACATGTGGATATAAATGAGGGCAAAAGGTGTGTGTGTGTGTGTGTGTGTGTGTGTGTGTGTGTGTGTGTGTTTTACTCTCATCGGATAGACCTAAATCCTTGAGAAGTAGGTAAGGGAGGCATGGTCTGCATTTTGCAAATGATCACGCTTACCCCGTGGCTGGGCTAGTTTGCAGTCTCTGCTTGAGTCTTAAGACCGTAGCTCCTTACTTATACAACTGAGAATGTGAATGCTTTTATTTAGAAGGATTTGCGGCGGGCTGTGGTGGCTCACGCCTATAAACCCAGCACTTTGGGAGGCCAAGGCAGGTGGATCACCTGAGGTTGGGCGTTTGAGACCAGCCTGATTAAGAAACCCCATCTCTGCTAGAAATTCAAAAAATTAGCTGGGCATGGTGGTGCATGCCTATAATCCCAGCTACTCGGGAGGTTGAGGCAGGAGAATCGCTTGAGCCTGAGAGGGGGAGGTTGTGGTGAGCCGAGATAGTACCATTGCACTCCAGCCTGGGCAACAAGAGCAAACTCCATCTCAAAAAAAAGGGGGATTTGTATCAACATACTGTCTAGTGCAATAGATGAGCCTGGAAGAGTGAATTCAGTATAAAAAGCTGGGGGTGCACAGGTGGGAGGCTGCCACAGGGTGGCCAGCCGTGAGTCAGGGCTGCTAAATGATCTGACCTCATTGATGTAAGCAGGAGATCTCACATCTTTTGTTTATAGTCCACTGTGGGGCACTGGACAACAGTTCTTAGACCCACGTTCATCCATATAGCTGCTAGGCTGAGAACTGGTTAATAATAGATCCCAAGACACAAAAGCGTTTTCATCCCTCATTATGAAATCATCTCTTTTTCACTGGCTGTCGGGGTTTGTTCTTGCTGGAATACATATGAGGGTAGTAGCACCATTGATTTGAGCAGCTTGGCATCAAATTGCGTTTGCAGATTATAATACACCCTGTGATATAGGAAAATACAGTTTTGAAGTCAGGGCCTTATGTCGAATTATTGATGAAATTCACGTGTTGTCATGAGATTCAAAACAGGCTTTCTTCAGGGAATCAATGAAGCACAAGAACTACATAGTATTACTTCCATAGCTGTGTGTGAAGATATCTTAGTATAACCCGTGGAGCACCAACACAACAAACTACAGGGCTGCCCTCATGGTGATGGGGATGGGGGTTGTTAACACTGAAATGCAAGAAGTCATCCTGAACCTGGGACTCCTGCAGCTTCTTCAGCTGGAACTCACTAGAACTTGTTCACTTTGCCACCCAAAGCAGGGTGATCTGTAAAGGCCTTACCTCTAACCAAAGCACTGAGCACCTAAACCAGATTTGGCTAGTGAGTGCCTGAAGTCAATTTCTGAAAATGTGTCTAGTAGCAGGACAGTGTTTCTGTAACTGAGGAGACACACTGAACGTTGAGCAGACTGAGTATTTCGTCTTGAGAAGAAGCAGTTGGCTTGATGTAGATTAGTGTTAGGAGTGGGCTATACAGAACACAGAAGACAATAGAAGGAATGTCAGCAGAGAACAACAGAAGAAAAGGACATTTCCTTTACAGTAGGTTCATTTTCTAATGAGAAATCTGAGTGAAAGCAAGCTAATATTCTTCATATGTGAAAAGTGCTTAGAAAACAATAAGAAGTTGTGCAGGGGTGTCAAGACCTGAGTAGACATTTCTCAAAAGAAGAAATCCAAATGGTCAATAAAGCTGAAAAAATTAACTTCAATAACCAAATCAATTTAGAATAAAAATCATTTGCCATTTTGAGACTAACAAGTTGGCAAGGTGTTTATCTTTTATAACACAAGTGATAACACATGTTGCTGGCAGAGGTTTGGGGAAACAGGTTGTATTTTATTAATGAAAATAATAGTTCATCTTTGCCAGATGATGCATCAGATGCTTTGGGAAATGTACATACTTCTCACCCAGGAATTCCCGTACAGAAAACTTATTTTAAAAATTAATGGTGTGCAGAAGGATATATTTAAAAGGCTCATTGCTGTTTGTAATGGTGAAAATTTTGGAGCAACCTAAGTGCCCACTAAAAAGGAGTAAGTTAAGTAAACTGATGTGTTCACACAGTGGCACAGGGGATTTGATGGTGCAGAATCAGACTTACTGAAAAAGAAATGTTTTCACAATGGATTTTTCAGTGAAATGACAGGCACTAAATAGCATGTACACTGTGAGCCCACTTTTAAAGAGGGTTGGTTAAATGAAAATGAGATTTTAATGATGGTTGGTTCTAGATTTTCTTTTTGCTTGTCTTTTATGCCCACTAATTTTCCTGTAACCAACATAAGGGGAAAGGGGAAGGTGCTTAGCAATCATACGCAGTGTGAACCTCTATAAAGAGTTGCACAGCAATCCAAACAAGCTTTGCCGCTCAGAAGGGGCTGTATGTATTGTTCCAGAAATGTCAGGGTTTATGTATTGAGTTAGAAATGCTGGTTGCTTCTCAAATGGTTATGACCAGGGAGTCTGATTTTAATTATGTAAATGGCATCTTTCATAGGTAAGGGAAACAAATTCCAGCCATTCTAGGGGTAGGGGAGAAAAAGGAGTGGAAAGGTAGGATGAGGAGTATTGTATTTTATTTTACTTTTTATTTATTTACAGTATTTATGGTTGTTGTTTTTTTTTTTTGAGATGGAGTCTTGCCACATCACCCAGGCTGGAGTTACAGTGGCACCATCTCGGCTCACTGCAACCTTTGCCTTCTGGGTTCAAGCAATTTTCTTGCCTCAGCCTCCCAAGTACCTGGGATTATAGGCGTGTACCACCACACCCAGGTAATTTTTGTATTTTTAGTAGAAACGGGGTTTCACCTTTTTGGCCAGGCTGGTCTTGAACTCCTGACCTTAGGTGATCTGCCTGCCTCGACCTCCCCAAGTGCTGATGAGCCACCAGCATTACAGGGGTGTAATGCTGTAATGAATAAATCACTCATTACAGGGGTGAGCCACCGCACCCAGCCTATATTTTATTTTTACTAGTTTGTATTGGGATTTAGATGGATACCTTGTTTTGTTTTCTAGGCCATACACCAGAGCACCCTAGAAGGTTTAACTAAAATAATGCTCATGTTTGACCCAGTTCCTGTCAAGCAAGAGGCCATGGACCCTGTCTCAGTGGTAAGTTTTCCAAAATGGAACACCTCACCTTATTTTTTCCAAGTGATGATAACATTGTTGTGTGTTGAATTACTCCTTAAAATCACTCATTACTTGACAGGCATTTCATAGGCAAACTTTTTCTCAACATCCCTAAGTGTGAGTGAGGGAAATACTGTCCTAGCTGCTATGGGTCCTTTAATAAATGTGGTCTGTGCTTCCTAAGACCTGTGCCTGGCGTCCCCGTAAGATATGATCAGCGTAGGACTTAGGCCATAGGCAAATCCTCTCGGGACAGAAGTAAGTTTACAAAAATTCCTCAGCCCTTTTGTGTGTAAAAATATATTAAGAATAGAATGATTTGCTTGAAACGAATGACAACAGCCATATGGAGCTGTGACTATATGAGAGATGACTGAGGGAAGCCAGCGAGAGAAAGAACTTGGCAGTGAGGACAGAATCTCATTTACTTGGAAGAGTCTGGCTGTGTGGGAATCAAGTTCATTGTCCTTTTCAGCACCTTAGCGCTAAGCCAGCCCCTCCTGTGAGCCGGGCCATTAGCTGCTTTTAGGTCACCAGGGACTAGCAAGGTTTCTGTAGGTCCAACATCAGTGCCGTGGAGGGGAGACATGGTGACAGAAAAAGGTGTCTTGACTTCAGAGACGGGAGTGGTTTCAACTTGAGAGATCTGCTTGAGTGAATATTGAATAACAAGGCAACGCCCCCACTCTGTCTTGCTCTTTTCTTCCACGGGCTTGGAAAATATTCACAAGGGGAAAGCTTGGCCTGAGTTGTGTATCTGAAGGTTGGTAATAACACGCTTACAAAATTAGATCATCCTTATGCATTGGCTCTGGAGGTTCCTGCCAAAAATGTTTATACAAGACACGGGGGTCACTTCGAGGCCCTTGGAGCTGAGTTGCCATGGATATTACTAAGCCAGTGAAGTGTTTACCAGTATCTATAATGGGAGTTAAGTCAGAGGGGCTTTAAGGAAATAACATTTACATTCCAGCCTGATAACTGAATAGCCGAGTATCTGAATATGGTAGCAACTGAGCAGTAAGGATTTTGTTAATCAAAAAACTAAATTATTCTTTTTTTTTTTTTTTGAGATGGAGTCTTGATCTGCCGCCCAGGCTGAAGTGCAGTGGTGTGATCTCACTGCAACCTCCATCTCCAGGGTTCAGGTGATTCTCCTGCCTCAGCCTCCCTAGTAGCTGAGGTGCCCACCACCATGCCCAGCTAATTTTTGTATTTTCATTAGAGACAGGGTTTCATCATGTTGTCCAGGCTGGTCTTGAACTCCTGACCTCAGGTGATCCACCTGCCTCAGCCTCCCAAAGTGCTGGGATTACAGGCATGAGCCACCGAGCCTGGCCAGAACTAAATTACTTCGAATGTTACACGGTACTGTCATTATATTCATCAAATCCTGCTCCCCGCCATTACTGCATGATCACATTAGAGGAAAATGAAGGTATAAAATTTCCCCATTAATTATATTCTTGAAATAGGAATAGGTTTTTAGCACTGGAGAATATGATTCATTTTACAAATGGTGCAGAGCCATCAGTGATGCATTTTACTGTTCAGTGTACTTCCAGTGCTTTTAATCAAGCATGAAAATCAGGCTCAAGAGTCCAATAGAGAGCTAAAAGGAAGATCCACATTGATAAATTGGTGTGATATGTATAATTAAGTGCAAGGAAATGCACTTAACCGAAAAAAATGTAGAGTAAAATGAATTTGAAGTAACTGTTAAACTTGTATTGTTGTAACATGTTAATACACGAAGTTAAAATATGTAGAAGTGTTTTTGCAATTAATGATCTTTTTCTCCTTTATGTGCTAGATTTCAGCTGCAACTGACATTTTGAGAATTGAGTTTCACCAAAAGTTACTGTCAGTCCTTAAAACGAAGGTGTTTTTTTGTTTTTCTTTTTTTGGCTTTAACTTTTTTTAGCAGGAAGTATTTTTTTCTTAATTCAGTGCAACCTCAGTTAACAGAAACATTTGAAGAGTGGGGTGTTAAAATGATTTTACTTCTAAAAAATTAAAAAGCTTTTGTTCCTACTCTTAAATCTTCAAATTTCATCTTTTCTGCCTTCATAGGTGAAGTATATTGAACCTAATTTATTATTCCTTTTTTTTTTTTTTTTAAATTCAGTCTTTGACCTGAAGATCAAAGTCTTTGGTTATTCAAGTCAATGTTGTAAACATTAAGGCACAATAGGACATTGAAAAAATATTTTTAATTTCTACATATGAATAAAAATATTTTATGATAACTTATTTCTCCCCCTTTCCCCGCCCCTAGAAGGACAGTAAGCACAGCAGAAGCAATCTGCTCATTTGGTCTTTTGCTACGTGTCATTTCCCTCATAACCAAATATAAGTCCTCATACTGTTCTCCACTAAGCCTTGTGCTGTGAGGCTTGGGGTCACCCTATTAAAATTTGCAAGAATGAGGAACAGAGTAGACTTTGCCTCCCCAAGTCTGTGCCCTAAATCTCTGCTACTCACTGTCCACCCAGTGTTGGCAAATCACCAGCAGCAACCTGAACTTCCAGTTTTGTGGGGTTTTTTTGAAAAATTACAAAATATGAAACTGGTGTAAAAAAATGCACATGTACATAAATTGGTTTTTTTTTTACCGTTTCCCAAAAGATTGAAAATTAAAGGATTTAATTCAGGAAGTTAGCAAGAAAACAAATTCTAAAAATAAAACAAAAAGTACTCTTCTATTCCTGTAGAAAGATTACTTTTGGAGATGGGATTAATAATATTCTGTCATCTAACAGACTCCTTATAGATAGGAAAGTTTGTCAAATGAGTAGTTTCCTCTGTGGTGTTCTAACAGAAACTGTTCATGGCGCTTTCAAGCCTAATAGAAAGAGAGCTTTCTACCTCTGTTTTCACGGGGGTGCATGCTGTTTGCTCTTTCCAGAGTGTGTTTATACATGCACCACGCCTTCCTGTGCCTGGAACCCTCTCTTGGATGAAGATTCCTTTGACTTGCCCTGTCATGGACATTCACTTTTTTTCATGTTGATGAATAGTGAAATAGAGATTTCATCCACGTTTCAGCCACTTCATCCACTGAAACTCTTACAGTGGAAAACTCACCAAAACTATTCCTAAAAAAACAAGAAACATATGCAATTATCACCTCAGCATAAAGTGATAGAGTTTTGGGAAATTATCTAAACCTTGTACCTCTTTCCCTGTCGCAATTAAAATCATTTTCTCAAAGTTCAAAATAATTGGTATATTTTTCTTTACCTTGTCAGTACTAAAAACCCTGCTAAGAGAGTGTGTTAATTTACTCCACATTCATCAAGTATTAATTGAGCACCTATGCCCGGCCCTCATCACCTCACACTGCAATGAGAAGCAGCAGTCAGTCAGTAAATGTACACTGGGCGTATGAACATCTGAGTGCGTGTTACAGACAGAAAGAACTTTTCCTTATAGCAGATTGGTGGTTTTGTTTGGTTTTGTTTTGGTTTGAGACAAGGTATTGCTCTGTTGCCCAGGCTAGAGTACAGTGGTGAGATCACTGGGCTCAAGCAATCCTCCTGCCTCAGCCTCCAAAGTAGCTGGGGACTACAAGCAAGCACACATACCCCGCTACATTTTGTTTTTTCTGTAGAGATGGAGTCTCACTATGTTGCCCAGACTGGTCTCAAACTCCTGGCCTTAAGCAATCCTCCTGCCTTTTCTGTAGAGACGGGGTCTCGCTCTATTGTCTAGGCTGGTCTCAGACTTCTGGCCTTAAGTTCTCCTACCTCAGCCTCTCCAAGTGCTGGAGTTGTAAGTGTGAGCCACTGTGCCTGACCCAGCCCTTGTGTTTTAAGCCCTTGCGATCCCCAGTGGGGGCCAGAGTTGGGAAGGGCAAAGCCCATGTCTGTGTCTTGTCTTTGGACTGCTCTGTTCCAGGACACAGGGCCTCTGGGGCTAAGCAGCGTGCACAGAGGGCACTGGAGGTCCGTCCATGGCCAGAGGCGCATTTTCTGCTTCATCAACACTTGTCTCTGATTTGGATTTGGGGCCAGTACAGCCGTGCTTGTGTGCATTGCTTTGATAGAACATGGGAACGGTCTGGAGCAGAGGGGAAGACTGTTACCAGGTTGTACCTGCCCAGGGCACACACCCTGATCACACCCGGTGTCAGTCCCCACACCGCACCGGATTGTTGGAAGCTTGTGTGCTCTACCCACCAGATAAGATAAACTGTTTGAGGGGCCACATTTCGTCACCCTTTTGTGAGGCCTTGGGCTGGAAACAGTTAATTATCTACCCAGAGTTGGGTGTCTGTGTGCAAATCTGTCTCCCCACAGTTAGTCTTATGACTTATAATAATCGCACATCTAATAGAGGGAGTGAGGGCATTCACATGAGAACAGACATATCAGCAAACTGGTAAAACTTAGCTTTACGTGTGGCTTTTTCTGTCTTAATGGCTTGAGAAACCTGAGAATATTACTAAATTTGCAAATCTGGAGGTTCTAAATTCCTTCTCTTCCAAAACTCGCCCCATGCATAGAAAAATCCAGCAATGACAGCCATAAAACTGTGTCCTCATTTTGCTTCCCATTTAGCTGCCAATAACTATTGGCATTAAAATCTAGGTCATAGGGAGGTCTTGGAAGAATTGGATTGAACATAAGGGAGAAGCTACATTTTGGTCAATAGAAGAAATGCTGCCTCCCACTTCCTAAAGGTTTTTTTTTTTCTAATACCAGAACCATTGCCCTTTGGAGAATTATATGAAGCACATTAGACTTTAGGACTAGGGGAAATCCTTCTCCCTCCTATATTTACTCCCTGAAACTCTCTAATGTACATGATTTATAGTGTATTTTTGTTGTTGTTAATGAACCTTGTGCCTCTTTTAATAATACCTATCTTAATATTTAAATTTAAATCTGTTTAATACTTAATGTTGCTATGTTTTGGACCTCTTGTGTTGGTACTGTGCGTGCCTGGCTTTAAAGAAAGGTGGAAAAGCTTTTCTTCATTTGATCCTTGATATATAACTCAAAACTATTTTTATTCATTTTGTGTTTTGTGATTTTTATATCCTTCATTTTCCTGTTTTTAAGCAGCATTAGTGTGAAAACTGGCTGGGCGTGGTGGCTTATGCCTGTAATCCTAGAACTTTGGGAGGCCCAGGTGGGCAGATCACTTGAGCCCAGGAGTTCCAGACCCGCCTGGACAAAACCTAGGCTCTACAAAACTACAAAAATTAGCCAGGCATGGTGTCATATGCCTGTAGTCCCACTTACTCCAGAGGCTGAGGTGGGAGAATCATGTGACCCCAGGAGGTCGAGGCTGCAGAGAGCTATGATCATACCACTGCACTCCAACCTGAGAAACAGTGAGACCCTATCTCAAAAAAAAAAAGAGAGAGAAAAGAAAATTGTTTTTCCCTCCTTTAAATAGACCTTTAGTGTTTTTGTTTTATATCTCTGTCATTTAGATTGTTGCTATTCAAAAGGTAGTCTATGGCCCCTTGGTCCACTCCCCAGTAATTCAAAATTTGCATTTTAACAGGTGCCCCAGGTAAATGGATGTGCACAGTAAAGTTTGAGAAGCTCTGGTTGTGAGCGGCAGAGCCCGTGACAGTGAGCATTTCTTATATAAGCAGGGACAAGAAGGGACTTCTAGGACAGCGTGTGTTAAGCTCATTGCGTAGGTTATCCCATAACCTCACAGCCTCCTGGAAGGTGGGGATTCAGAACAACCTTAACAAGTCTGCCATATCCTCATAGTGCCTGCACTCCTAATATTTCGTTAATAATTTTTCCTGCCTTCTTTTACAGAATTGCTTTTTCACATAATCAATTTAAAGGCAAACTTGGTGCTGCTACTACAAAATATACATGTAACAGTTTTTGCTGGCACATACAGATAAACACATAACAATTTAACTTAGGGTATGCTCGTCGTGTTCCCCACCTAAAAGCATGTTAGGTACACCCCAAGTGATGTGCAGCACGCTGCAGGAATCCCTGTTCTAGGAAGTTACACAGATTATAACAGTCTGGATAAAGAAAGAACAGAAGATAACAAAGCATGATCTTAACCATGAGGACCTGATAAAGATAAATAAACACAGTGATGTGATAGGAAGCTTCACTGCCTGGCCCCTCCTCGATAGTGTGCCGCTCTGCAGGCCTGGAGCAGGGACTGGGCATCTGGAATTTTCAAAACACAGATGATTCTGATGTATGACCAGCCGGGGATTCACCCAGACCGAGCCCAGAGAGGAAAGGGGGTGATCTCAGTAGGAATCCCCGTCAGAACCATTGCTGCCCCACAATCATAAAGCACAATAGTGGCCCCTACAGGGGCTTAGGGGGCCCAGAAATGAATAGCGCATTTAGGGTGTTTAATTATAAGGTGCCATTGGGGGGTTTCTTTGTTGCATCCCGAGTTAGTATTGCCTCTAAATCATGAACACGTAGGATCTTAGAGCTGGAAGAGAAGCGCCATGTGTTGATTTATCACTGTCAGTGTCAGCCATTCAAGTTCAAAGAACTTTCTGCAGGTAAGCAGGCTTGACACGCAGAATTTCAGTTTCCCTAAAATGCCGAGTGAAGAAGTTGGTTTATCTTGTTTAATTTTTTAAAAAATTAAAAATTATGTTGCATTCTACAAAGAAAATTTACAACAAAATGTTAGTTAAGGAATAGAAGTAATTTAGGTGAACTCCATGGTCAAAGATAGTGCCCATAGTGTGAAATTATTATGATTGGTTTGTATGTAAAGCTGGCAGATGAAAGTTAGGTTATCGTGATATTTAAAGAGACAAAGGTATTTGAAGATACATGAGGTCAGCTGTATATCAGATCTTGGGAAGGAAACACTCTCTTGTCTCCTCTGCTCTCCCTTGTTTGTCCCCCAGCCTCATTTGATGAATGGGTAGCAGTGTGTAGAGGAGAGAACACGGGGCCTCAGCTTGTGTGAATGACCCTGAGCACCACATTTCCTTATTCAAGTCATAGCACGTTGGCTGTTTCTTATAGTTCTGTGTCACCCACAGACTTGGCATTCAAGTTTACAGCTTCATTCAGATTCTGAATAAGAACATTGAGCAAGTTAGGGCCAAGGACATAATTGCCCCAGTGAGGGTGGCCTTCAGGACAAAGGTGTGTATGGTGACTGACCCCCTCCTGGTTTGCCTGAGACTGTAGAGTTTCATGGGATGTGGGACTTTCAGAGCTGAAACCAGAACAGTTAATGCTGACTGGGATTGTTGGCCAATCCTAGGCATGGATTGTTCAGCTGCTGAAGCCCTTCAAAAGAAAGATACTGTCTGTCATGCAGCCCCATTCTTCCTTATTATATACAAGTATGATGAGCAATCAATATCCTGCTGAAGTTTAAAGACGTTACTTATCCTGAGAAATCAATGTCCTGCTGAAGTTAGACACTAAAGCTAGAGAGCATTTCCTGCTCATCAAGAAACCCCACCAGAAAAGCAACAGGTTGGTTTGGCTTGGCTGGTTCTTGGTGAACCCCAGCTCTGACTCCTAATGATAATGGCCCCCATGCCTGTGCTAGCGCCTGTCTTAAAATTTTGCCAGGCATCAATCAGCCTTAATGTTTGACACAGGAATCCTCTTGGGATTAAATTTCAGATTTTTCATGTGCAGTAGTGACCACATTGATCTTAGTTTTAATGTTTATGAGACCGCCTCTCATAGCATTTTCTTTGTTCTTTGTTTTTTGGGTTTTTGTTTGTTTGTTTGTTTTGTTTTGTTTGTCATCCAGGCTGGAATGCAATGGCATGATCTTGGCTCACCGCAACGTCTGCCTCCCAGGTTCAAGTGATTCTCCTGCCTGAGCCTCCCAAGTAGCTGGGGTTATAGGCACCCTCCACTACATCCAGCTAATTTTTGTGTTTTTAGTAGAGACGGGGTTTCACCATGTTGGTCAGGCTGGTCTTGAACTCCCAACATCAGGTGATCTGCCCACCTCAGCCTCCCAAAGTGCTGGGATTATAGGCGTGAGCCACCACACCCAGCTCTTGTAGCATTTTTAATGTTGTTGAGACCACTTCTCTAAGCATTTTTTTAAGGTCAAGTATATATTGAAATCTAAACCACTTTGTAAAGCCCTTGGGATTGTTAAGTGCCTTGTTAACATGTTTTTGTCTTAATTCATGTTTCAAGTAAATGCACTTGTTTGGCTGTTGACACGTTGTTTTCCTTTTTGTATCCTATAGTCATACCCATCTAATTACATGGAATCCATGAAGCCCAACAAGTACGGGGTCATCTACTCCACACCTTTGCCTGATAAGTTCTTTCAGACCCCAGAAGGCCTGTCACATGGAATACAGATGGAGCCAGTGGACCTCACAGTGAACAAGCGAAGTTCACCCCCTTCGTCGGCTGGGAATTCGCCCTCCTCTCTGAAGTTCCCGTCCTCACACCGGAGAGCCTCGCCTGGGTTGAGCATGCCTTCTTCTAGCCCCCCGATAAAAAAATACTCACCCCCTTCTCCAGGCGTGCAGCCCTTTGGTGTGCCACTGTCCATGCCGCCGGTGATGGCAGCTGCCCTCTCGCGCCACGGAATACGGAGCCCAGGGATCCTGCCTGTCATCCAGCCAGTGGTGGTGCAGCCCGTCCCCTTTATGTACACGAGTCACCTCCAGCAGCCTCTCATGGTCTCCTTGTCAGAAGAGATGGAAAATTCTAGCAGTAGCATGCAAGGTAAATTCCGCCTCTGCTCCATGCCGCTGCACTTGCCTAGCATACTGGTGCTTCACCAGACAGGCTGGGTGAGGAAGCACAGGGCAAGGGCTGTTGAACTCTTCCAAGGAAATACTCATCTGCCTAAGGCATTCATTTTTTCTTTTTTTTCCCTTAAGTGTTGATACTGGAAGAGATCCCAACAATCAGGCTTGTCTGTTTGATACCATAACATGATTACTTTAACTGTATAAGAGTCAACCTGGGGATAGAAAGAACCTTGACTTTATGTTGCTTTATTGAATGCCAACATGGTTCTAGGTACAAAAGGCATTTAATAAATACTTTTTGGTCATGGTGAAAACTAATGCCAATCAAAAGCCTCTTTGTTTACTAACTGGTCATAGACAGGACTATGGGATTAAAAGAAAATAATCCAGAATTGTAAGAATGAATCATTTCAGGGCTGGTGTCTTAGAATCCAGGTCCCTGTACTTGCTGCTTACTGGCAAAATGATGATCAAGAGAAGCAAGAATCTCCCACAGATTTGTTCCTGCTATAATTCTGCCAAAGGCAAATAAATTTCTCATATCTGTATAGGAGATAGGAGCTATGCAGTAAGCCTTTATAAACTGAAATTGGTAAATGGTAAGTGGAGTGACTTTTCTATTTTTATTTTTTAGTACCTGTAATTGAATCATATGAGAAGCCTATATCACAGAAAAAAATTAAAATAGAACCTGGGATCGAACCACAGAGGACAGATTATTATCCTGAAGAAATGTCACCCCCCTTAATGAACTCAGTGTCCCCCCCGCAAGCATTGTTGCAAGAGTAAGTATATTTAGGTCTACCCGGCATTTGCATAGTAGCATGCATCTTGGAACCTGGAATGGAAGCACAAGATTTCACATACCTGATGTGGTGTGAATGACCAGGAATGGCTTATTGTCTGTGGCCGCCACTGGCCGGGTATCACTGGCCAAGATGGGAAAATCTCTCCAGAAATAGTATGCTCTCTGTTAACACTGACAACATTATGACAAAAGTTACATCAAGTTTTCATTGAATCAGTCATCTGTGATTTTGCACCTTACCACACGAATTGTTTTTGTTTTCTTTCCATTCTTCCAGGCTATGTATGCATAGTTCTTCCATGATGACAGTCCTTGTGTAGATGGAATTTGGTGTTCTCTGGGTCATATAAAGTTTTCATGTGGACACACATAGTCCTCCCAGCTGTCACTTCTAACCTAGTATATTGTTTCTATTATGGGGAATGTCTGTAATCACCATCTGCAGGCCAACCACAAGCCCAAAAGAGATGCTCCAGAACAAGTCCTGGAAATAGTGGTGGCAACTGAAAGTCGTCTGTGTAGCTCAGGAAAGTCCAGCATTGAAAGAACTATTCTCTGGTCTTTTTAATCATGTCTGCCTACAGAGTGTATAGTATCCTGTAGAACTGCCATCCAGTAGGAAGACTGTGCAGTACTGGTCAGCATCCAACCACCTGAATGGTGGTTTCTTATAGGTCTAATGTGGTATAAGGTGGTAGTGCCACACACAGTTTCAGTAACCTCATTTGTAAGATCCTGCTGTAGATAACCTTGGCCTCTACCAGTGATTACACTAAGAGCGGGGTTTATAGTTGCTAAAAAGATGGTGTTCGGGTCCAACAAGGATCCCACCTCCGCTCTTTACCATATGTATGATCTTGGACTACTCACTTAATCTTGCTGCCCTCATTTCTATTTTCATTATTGATTGTAGTTGTTGTAATTGTCTTGTGTTACGGGTGGTTCAACATTGGATTCAGCAGCCAGCTTCCTAGTACAAAGGCAACTGTTAACTCCACCAGGTCCCCTTCCATCGTCTTCCTGCATCATTTTCCTCCAACTTGAATAAATGTTCTACCCACCTTTCTCTTTTATCTTCTCCAGCTCCTCCGCCCTGGTCCCTCTCACAATTAACTCTGCAGCGGAATGCAAATTCTTAAATATATCCTAGTTTTGTATCCATATTCAGCTTGGGTAGGTACCTTCATAGTAGCTTATGGATTAATTGTCCACTGCATCCAATGATAGTCCTTTTTGGTTTGGATTGTCGTGTGCTCCCTGATAGATGAAGAAGAGAATGACTCTCAGCCAGCTGCATGAGCAGGTAGGGAGAGAGAGTCTCTGATAGAATTGTATGCTGTTATTTCTCTCAATCACATAGTGCCCTCTTCCCTCAAAAATCCTTCCCAGGTGTTTTCACAGCAATTATGTCATTCCTCCACAACAAGCCTGTGGGAGTCAGAGCAAAAAGCAAACTGATTGCCTAAGACATTAGATAACTTGCCTGTAATCACACTGCTAACAACTGAGGGAACCTGGGCTTGATCTCCTGCTTCCAAATCAGGGCTTTTCCTGGCATCTTATCATATCCAACCCATGGCATCTGCCCATGCACTCAAGTGAAAGGAAAACATGACTAAGCAAAATGGACACATCTTATAGGTGGAATTACCTCTTTATGTTGAGGGATGTCTCTAGCAAGATAACTAAAAAGAGGGCATGCACTTATAGTTGTTCGTGCATGGGTGATGAAAAAGATGCTGTAAAACTAAATAAAGCCAAGTGCCTCCATAGGGAGGGATCTGTTGACTGGAAAAGTGTTATTCCAAAGTCTGGCATGTTGCAAATTGCAATGTAAAACATTACAGAAGATTTGAAGGCAATATTTTGTGCTTTGAATGCTGCTCAAAAGAAAATACTTTTTTCTTATTTTAAGTAATATTCTTTTGATGATCTCAAGCCCAGTGGCTTTTAGTGATTAATGAGTAATATGCTTATTTTAACGCTGTCCTAAGAATGCATTTTGCATCTCAGAAGAATTCAACAGATTAGCCACAGCTGGGACATGTACTCTTTATAAGTAATGTTCCCACAGATGTGATTAAGTAATGTCTTGGAGTGTGCCCAGTAGCAGCCCACGTAGGAAACCAGCTAGCCAGGAAAGAATCACTTGAAACTAGGCACTTAGTACCACTGCAGCCCCAGTAATATTTGCCTTAGGAAACCCTTTCCAGAGGCAGGCTTCAAAGTACAGCTTTGAAATCCATTTGCTTGATTGTGGTGTTACAGCTTTAGGTTTCTTTAAAAAGGCACTCAAAGGTACATCAAATTCCTTTTGTTACAGATTTACAAAAAGATTTATTTGTTCCAAATATACAAAACTGTATTTAGAACAAAAAGCATAAGAATCAGATTTCCCTATTGAGTTGTGTATGTGAATTGTAGCAACCTTAAAGATAGGCTGTGTCAGCTCAAAACAGTGGACAGATAGATGTATTAGCTCTCTAACTTCTTGGTTGTAATAATCCCAAACCATTACTCTTTGAAAATGGGAATGGAGACCAAAAAGTGCGAGATCCCAACACTCTTAATCTAGCCTTGGCCTGAACCAACACTAGTCTCTTAAGAGATGCAGCAGCTAACTGTGCTCAGAGTGTTTGAGGGACACAGCTCAAGCAGAGGTGTTCTGGTTTGGGGACATCCTCAAAAAACTAATGAAAATAAATAACCATAGGGTACAAAGTTACAAATAGAATATTTTGAACCTCAATATTCATGGCTACCATTTAGTAGCTTTATCTTGGGAACAGACATTGTTCTGAGATAGAATCTTCTGAGATAACATTATCATCATCCCCAGTTTACAGAAAGGAAACCATGACACAGAGAGGGTGAGATCTTGGCCCAGGATCACAGAGACTTGTCAGTGACAGGGCTGGGATTTGTAAATTGGAGCTCACAGCCTTTGGATGCACCTTTACATATAAAATAAACAGCTGGAAAGGGCAGTCAGAATTACTGCACAGAAACGATTAGATTCCCAACCCATAAAATCTAATAATTGGGAGAGATTTCTAAAGTTATCTGAGAAAGATAGTCTCCCAGTATCCCAAAGACATGCAAGTTAATCATGAAATTTCTGCCCTGGCATTTTGTTTCCTGAAGTTCTTTTAATGGAGAAGAAACATTTTCATTAGATGGCATTAAAGCCGAAAGTTAAAAATAAACTGAACTATTTTCTTTTTATTGAAGGATTTTAAAGAATAATTCAGCCTTATAAAAACTGTGTCTGTAAACCTCTCACTTTGCTGTGCTCTGCTGTTTGTTTGCACATACACATATAATTGAAGTCCTTGTTCTTTTCCCCCTCTTCACTATTTTATGTTCACTTTTCCTTGTATGTAAACTTGGCCTATTTTATCCATCACTACCCCGCTTCCAGATATTAGAGTAGGAAGGTGAGAGTCAAAATTGACAGTTCCCTTTGCTCATAATAAAGTGTGAGAAGTAAGATCACATAAGAAACACACCTTTTATTCTTTTGTAGTCACTTCTTAGCATACTTGAAAAAGTTATTGACAAGGGATGTGTATTCAAATATTTACCAAGACTAGTTTTATATCAAGAGACTCCCTTTTGATTTTTATGGATAAATTTTTTTATCCTTTTTTTTTTAAGCTCACGAGTTAGAGTGTTTACTCTCATATTATTTTTTCCTTTTTACCCATGTTTTTTCTCCCCAAACACACTAATGCCAAATATTCCTGCATTATCTGGAACATTTTAGGAGCTTTAGATTCAACATGAAAGAGAAAGAAGTCTTTCATGACAGTTAGAGGCCAATGACATACACTTGTGATGTATCAAGTAATTAGTCACTAGGAAAGTGAATGAGCAGATTAGAACATTTTAATTACTTACATTAATCAGCGGGGGAAGCCTGAGAAAACTTGACAGATTTTTCTCAGTTCCTTCAGCTCCCTTTTTTCTCCACTATCTTGTGGAAAAAGAGAAAGCTTAGATTATAAGATTTTTAACAGGGTTTGGTGTGGAATCCACCCAGGGAAGGTGCAAACTCAGGAGTGAGAGAAATCAGGCAGGCAGAATGGCAGTCCCATGAGGGAGCTGGCACCACGTGAGCCAGCGTCATGGGTGACCACGCCGCATTGAAGTTCACCCTCATACAGGAATCACAGTGACAGTGGAGGTTTGAGTTTGTGAAGACAGCAATGCCAACTTTTTTTTTTTCCTTTGGAAGAGCCAGCATTTGAAAATTGCATGTGAATTGGCAGTCTCTAAGGGACTCCAATTAAATGCCAATTACATAAAGGATAAAAACGTAGATATACTCTACCATGTGGTTTCCTGAGACTTAGGAGTTTGATCTTTTCCATTTTTCCCCAGTGAACAATAATGAAAATCAGAGCAGCCTGTGGAAAAATACAGTGTTCAGCATTGCCTGGAACCACAAGATTCTATAAATAGGCAAATGTTGACTGAGGGAAGGAGCCTCCCAGCACTTGGCGCCTGCCTCTAGAGTAGCACCTAACCCTTCTGACTGTCATTACTTATCTCCATGTCTGTCTCCCCCTAGAGTGTGAGCTCCTCGAGGGCAGGAACCCTGTTTTTATTCATCTTTGTGCCCCGGTGCCAAGCACAGTGCCTGGCTCATGGTAGGTGCCCACTCAATGTTTGTTGAATGAATATAGCAGTGCTTCTTGGGTTGATCAGCTAATTTCTTTTTGTTTATTTTGTTGGGATTTTTTGTTTGTTTCTGCCCAGTGTTGTTAATGCTTTTAGTAGACTGATGAAAAAGAAAGAGCCTGCTCTCAACATTTTGCCTTTAACCTTGGCTTTCACAGAAATCACCCTTCGGTCATTGTGCAGCCTGGGAAGAGACCTTTACCTGTGGAATCCCCAGATACTCAAAGGAAGCGGAGGATACACAGATGTGATTATGATGGATGCAACAAAGTGTACACTAAAAGCTCCCACTTGAAAGCACACAGAAGAACACACACAGGTATTAGAAACACCAGAGTCACTTTATCTTTCTTCTTAAGATGTATTAGAATAGAATACAAAGGTTGTTCTGATGAAAGTTTTTTCAGGCATCTTGAAAGTTATCATAGTTGTCTCCAGATGTGTTGTCTCCAGACGAGTTGTGCAGAATGGAGAAGTTGCTAATGATTTCCCTTTGTAATAAGTTAGAATAGATTCAAAGTCATCCCCGTAAGAAGGCTGCTCACAATCACTTGCAGTTCTGTGCTCTCTAGCAAAGGAGGGAGAAAGAGTTGGAGCCTTCGCTGCTGGAACAGAGGAAGTGCTTTAACAGACGACCATGTGGACTTCATATGAGCTATTTCACATGTATATGCTGTAAATTTTTGAGAGTGAAGAACAGTCTTTGTGCAGCACAAATTAATGCAACTGGGCCAGGTACAGTGGCTCACACCTATAATCCCAGCACTTTAGGAGACTCAGGTGGGCAGATCATGAAGTCAAGAGATCGAGACCATCCTGGCCAACATGGTGAAAACCTGTCTCAACTAAAAATATAAAAATTAGCTGGGCGTGGTGGTGGGTGCCTTTAGTCCCAGCTACTTGGGAGACTGAGGCAGAATTGCTTGAACCCGGGATGTGAAGCTTGCAGTGACCTGACATTGTGCCACCGCACTCCAGGCTGGCGACAGAGTGAAACTAATAATAAGAATGCAACCGTTTAACACAATTCAGATAGAAGACTGCCTTTGAAGGAAAGAAAAGTGAAGAAATTTGGATAATATGTATCATCTAAAATTGAGGAATTCTTCCGCTATTGCCTATCATGTTGGTTCTAGGATTTCTTCCATCTTGCCTAATACTGAATATAAGCATGAGCAGCCAGATCATAATAAAGTTATTATATAGCTGAGAAAAATATGAAATTGGTCTCCGTGCTGAACATTTTGGTTGTCAAACATCTTAAGGAAGTAATACAAAAATGTTTTAACAGCCAGGTGCAGCAGCGTGCACCTGTGGTCCTGGCTACCTGGGAGGTTGAGGCAAGAGGATTGTTTGAGCCCAGGAGTTCAAGTCCAGCCTGGGCAACATAGAGAGGCCTTGTCTCTTAAAAAATTTAAAATGAACTGTTTGAACAGCCTGATTGACTATTCATGGTGGTGATGTATATACAGTAAGACTCATCTCACCTCAGACTCTTTGAGGTGAAATTCTAATTTGACAGCAGTTTACATCTGTGTGCATTTTCCTTAACAGTGTGGGTTGCTCTTCTGAGTCTTGCAAATCACTTCTACTAAGAAAATTTAACAAGGAAGAGTCTGGGGTTTGGAAGAGAAAAGGGAAGGAAAGTGTCTGGCAAAACAGAAGTGAAGTTTTAAAGTGAATCCTGGGAGGAGGCAGAGAAAGCTAACAGCCACAGAGAGAGCTGAGGGTGATAGCCTTGTGTCTAGAGGAACGCCCAAACAGAGAGGCCAGTCGATGATTACTGAGGGCATCGTTGGGGCATGAGTGGGGCCGGAGAGGTAGATGTTACCAGATTCCAGCCTAAAATTAAAAAGACATTGAATATTTGGGTGACAGTTTCGATGTAGGAAAAAATGCTTCTTTGTGTGTATATTCTGTACCAGGAAGCAGATAACAGAAATCCTAAATATCTCCTTGAAATGCCCAAGGAGTGGTAATCCCTCAAGGCTTCTAGAGAACAAGGGGTGTTAAGTGGGAGTTAATTTGTCATACCCATGACCCTTATTACTAATTTAAAGTGTAAGATTGCCAGAACAGCCTTTTTATTTGTGAAGGTCTCCCCGCATCCTGGTTCTCCCTATTATTTTCTCACAGGGAGCTTCTGTTCCTCATCTGTAAATTATCCGTACCCTACAGGAGGGGGTTGTAAAAACCTGGCTCAAGACAGATGGGGAGGAATTCGTATATTTTAGTACCCCTGAATTAAAGCATTATACTTATGCATAATTGCTATTGACTAAACAAGATCATAAGATGTTAATCCCTAACAGATACTTCAATTGTTAGAGACTTCATAATTTTAGAAAACTATTGAGAAGTATAAGAAAATCCCACAAACTTTCAATTTGGAGATCTCATTAAATGAATAACACTGCATATAACTAAGCTCCCGAGCAGGTTTAAGATTTGAAGATGTGTGGCTCAAGCCTGTAATCCCAGCACTTTGGGAGGCCGAGACGGGTGGATCACAAGGTCAAGAGATCGAGACCATCCTGGTCAACATGGTGAAACCCCGTCTCTACTAAAAATACAAAAAATTAGCTGGGCATGGTGGTGCGTGCCTGTAATCCCAGCTACTCAGGAGGCTGAGGCAGGAGAATTGCCTGAACCCAGGAGGCGGAGGTTGCGGTGAGCCGAGATCGGGCCATTGCACTCCAGCCTGGGTAACATGAGTGAAACTCCGTCTCAAAAAAAAAAAAAAAAAAAAAAGATTTGAAGATGTGCAAATACAGATCACCATGTGTTGATTCACTATGTGGCGGTCCCTCCGAATGGATTTCAGTGACTCTGTTTTAAGAACTCTTAAAATTCTCCTCCCGTTTTTTCGGTAGTGAGCCAATGAAACATAAGATATTAGTTCCTTTTTTTTTTCTTGCTTCACCTGCAGTAGTTTATAATGCACTGTGTTATTGAAGAACAAATGTATGAACATATCTTGGAAATATATTCATCAAGCATGAGCTCAAAGATCTTTACTGCCTTTACCAAAAAATTTAGCTCTTTTATTTTGCCTTTTGCAGGAGAAAAACCATACAAATGTACATGGGAAGGATGCACATGGAAGTTTGCTCGGTCTGATGAACTAACAAGACATTTCCGAAAACACACTGGAATCAAACCTTTCCAGTGCCCGGACTGTGACCGCAGCTTCTCCCGTTCTGACCATCTTGCCCTTCATAGGAAACGCCACATGCTAGTCTGAATGCCCCTGTCCTGCCTCAGTGTGACTCCCCACTCACCTGGCTCTCTCTCTCCTGCCTCCCATTATCTAACACATTTTTTACATGTACATTTTAATTTGATTCAGCTGGTCTGAATCTCTGGATTTATATCATCCAAAACTTCCATATGGTCAGTAGTAGATGTTCTCTAATCCTCCCTCTCCTTACCACGGGTCAGACCTAAAGAATGTGAACACTTTTTTTTTTTTTTTTTCTGGGGATGCTAAGCAAACCCTTCTTATAGATACGTTTAATGTAATAAGAACAAGGGAACATGTAAACTAACATAACCAATTGTCAGTTCTCCATGTATTCCTCAAAAGAATGTCAGAGTAAATGTATTAGAAATACAGTATCCAGACTGCTAGTCCTTGCCAGAGACATTCTTACCTCTTCCCTGTGCTAATATTTTATGCTTGACAGTGAAAAGAAGGGTGGCCCCTTGCACCGGTTAGCTAGAAGAAGTACAGCAATATTTCAGGCTAGCGCAGTCGCCTCTTCCGTCATCCTTCACAAATCTTGTCAACCTGCATCTTAGACTTCAGCTGAATCGAGTTCTTTGCCCTCTTTTGTGACTGCGGCTCATATGGAGATCTTTGCCACCAATGGGAGATGAGCCCAGGCTTTTGATGTGGGCGGATGATGTGTAGAGTTCAAGGGAAGGGTGCTGTGCTTTCATAGCATGGAGTCGGAGGAGAGGGCCACTGAGCAGGGGGAGCAGAAGAGGCAATTCCTCCTGGGCTGGGGGTTGTCAGTGTGTTTTCAACATTTGGTTAGCTGTGCGCAGCATTCCCAGAGCTTCAGGCTCTGCATACTCAGCTTTGCAGAACCCTGCTGCAAAGCCATACACCAATGGGGTTATCCATGCAACTGTCTCCATTCCTACAATGCCCTTAACATGAGATCATCAAACATCGATAGTAGGGACTCCGTGGAATATTTGCCCAGTAATGGTAAGACATCTTTTGGGTAAGAGTATGGATGGTTCTTCTTTTACCCAATCTACTTAGAGCCTTTTTATGTAAACAGGGAAATGTTGAGTGGTACTTGTATTCCCTTATCAAATTAATCACATAGCTTTTATACAGAAACTCTTCTGTGTGAGCTGTAAGGTGCCAAATTGACTGTCATTTGTATTCATGACGCATACCATAAAGCATCTGCTAATGCTTTAATATTGATTTAATTAAGACCTGAGTGACACTATTTGTAAATATAACTAGTTGTGAAGCACACATACCTTTATTTTGGGAATTTATGAAAAAATATAGAAAACCACAGATCAGGGATTCATATATGTAGCTCAAAAATTCCCAGAAGTTTACTGTTAGAGCTGGCGATTTTCTATCACTATTTCAGTGTCGGAAGAAACTGAAAATAATGGCTCGTGTTTATGTTGAAGATAAATAGCACCATGTATTGGGGGAAGTTATTCAAAAGCAGGCTTTTGAACATATAGTCTAAAATAAAAATAATTCATACATAGAAATGTCATTGGTCATGAATTTGAAGAAAGTGAGCAACAGTCATTAAATGTGGGTGCATATAACCAAATTCCCCTTCATCAAGAATGGAGGAGAAGAGAGAAGAATGAAATCCTGAAGATTCATCCCAGCCACAACTCAGGATCCAACACAACTTTAACTGGGAGGAATACATTGTTTCGCCATTTTTAAAACATCTGTGAATGAGTGATTCCAGAGGCCTGTGAATTGTGTGGGGAGCTTACTTTGATGGCACTATGTTAATAAAAGTTGTAGGGACTGTGCAGAGGTCCCACTCATCTGCCCTGTGAACCAGCTATAAAGACACGTAGTTGAGAAATGCAAAGAAATGTGTTATCTTGGCACTTGGGTTTGATTTTCTTTTTTTTAAAGCACTGCAAATTGGGGTCTTTTTTTAAGCTAAAGTTTTTCTCTTTTGCAACTATGACATGAATTGAGTGATAAAATGGCTCTTTGAAAAGTAGATGTTGTCTGTATTGTAAATGCTTGGTCATAATTCATGGCAGAGTGTTCATTTCTTGAGATAGTTCTTCCACAACACGCAAGAATCAAGATGGAATGCAAGGAAAACCTTGTTTTGATGGAGGTAACCAGTTTATGTGTGTTCCAGTCCATAGAGAAGCGGGGAAAGGGCGAGAAAGGATAAAACTGATCTAAGATTGGCTCTGGGCCCGAGTTCAGTGAATAGCCTCGTGGGCATCTCATGGAATTGATGCGTTTGCTGTGGCATATTTAAATTTTGTTCAAAAGATTTTAAGCAAGACTTGGCAAAGACTCCTGTGTTACTGTCCAGCTTACTTAGATTGTGTTAACAGTTCATTTAACAAAGATCCATTTTAACTGTGGAGCAAAAGCAACCCAGAGCAGCCATTCTCTATTCCCATGCTGGTCAATATGCTTTCATTACCAATTGGCCCTTACCAAACTTTTCTTATATATATATATATTTGTATTTTACTATGATAGTTGAGAAATTTAGCCTTTTAGTCATTTTTAGCTGTTATTGTGGAAGACCTCAAATACAAGATTAGATGCCCTTGAACATGTTTTAATGATGTGTCATGTTAGTATCAATGGTGATTTCAATCGCAGTATTTTAAATTTATGAAAATGATTTGTAAACATGAAGTTGGTATTATGTAAATTCTGTTTGTTAGAGAGTTTCTTCAGTTGTTACCCAAGTGTCATCCTAGAGAAGTCAGAAGAATCAGAATCCATCATATTTTAGAGTTTTGTGAATCTACATCAATGGGCATTAACATTCTAAATTGCTTGGTTTGGAGAATGTGTTAGCAGCATAGCTACATTCAAGTAAGGAGATGCTAAATACACAGAAGTTTCAAGAGCCTTGGAACAGAATTACAGGGGAACTGTATATGTATATGTATATCCTATTAAACACCCATCTGCACTATCAGTATTGCACTAATATGGATTTTTGAAAGACTATTTTGCTGATACTGTATATCTGCTCATCATTCCTGATTAGATTGTTTTAAAGACAATCTGAAAGATCCAAGGTTTTAAAATAATTTGGCTTGAAAATATACAGTTGTCTTGAAGGAATTGCTGTCATACATGAAGTTGCTCCGAGCTGTCTTTATTCTCTTCTTGGTCAAGGTTAACAATTGCTAAATGATCGCAAATTCACCTGAACAATAAATACATTTACAAAGCCATCTTTACATGCATTAAACGAGGGCTACAACGATATTGTTTTACAAATACTAGCACTTTTTTTCTGTTATGTACTTAGTGTTAGAGGGTCAAAATAATCTTTCTGCTTAGCATCTCTTAAACCATACCTGCAAATATAGCAGGATTATTACATTTACAGTACTTTAATACTTGTATAAACTATGCAGAAATTTTTAATAAAGTGTAATATATTTTATAAGCTAATAAGACTGAATGGGTAAAGGTTTTTAGCATGCATTAGTATACTTGCAGATACTGAAACATTTTGGTAATCTTTCTTACTAAAGATGTGAATGTTTAATGTACCTTCTCCGTTTCTACTCTGTAGTCCAATGGGAATTCAGTAATGACATTTTGTCATGTCAAACTGTGAACATAAATTTGTACTGTACAGTCCTCATATACTATAAACAGTATGCAATATATATTATATACTTGTTAATAAAACCATCAGAATATTAAATGTGATCATGTGATGACTTCATATGCAGTGGTCACTACAACAAAACTCAGAGCAATTTAAGAACCCTCGCTTAGAACTTTACTTACTGTGATGGGCAGTTACTGTTGATGAAGGTACAGAAAAATAGATCTAACTGGAAAAGGCACTGAAGGAATGAACTCAGCCCTCAAGCTATGTCCCTGGTTTTCTGAAAATAGCCAACATGAAGTCTTCCAGGTTCAAATTATAAAACAGCAGACAATCCAGCAAAAATCTAGAAACTCACCTAGTTCATTCGTGAAATACTTTTTGTTGTTTATGACTCCCCCTGCCTACTTCCAAAAAGAACTTGCAGTGTATTGTATTAAAAGATGCATATGTATAATACTTCAAACTTTTAGAGTAAAATATCAAAAAATGCTGGGGAGTGGGGAACTAGGAACAGGACAATAATGCAATAAAGTAAATAATTCTGGATAAAAATATTTTTCAAGCCTATAGTAACCATGTCCATGGATGCCGCAGTCTCCAGCATCACATGAAGAAGTCATTTCTGATAGGGATTTAGAATTGGCATGTTTTTGTTTTTACATAGTCTTGCTGTGTTGCCCAGGCTGGCATGCAGTGTTGTGATCTCACTGCAACCTCTGCCTCTTGGGTTCAAGTGATTCTCCTGCCACAGCCTCCCGAGTAGCTGGGACTACAGGCATGTGCCACTGCACCCATCTAATTTTTCTATTTTTAGTAGAGATGGCCAAGCTGGTCTTCAACTCCTGACCTCAAGTGGTTCACTTGCCTTGGCCTCCCAAAGTGCTGCAATTACAGGCATGAGCCACCGTGCCCAGCCAAGGATTTGGAGTTCTTTTAAGGCAAAATGTAATCACCTCTCCTCTTCCCTCTGCATCCCTGCAATGTAATTGAAATAGGCTAAATTGTTAGATCTCAGCAGTTTCCTCCAGCCTGGACTTCATCTTAGCAAAACAAAAGATAATGTCTGGCTTGCACTTCCCACATGACTTACCTTCACAGATTGGAGAGCGGAAGGAGGTTGGGAGAAGGTAAAGTTTAGACTTTGGGGCACTCTCCAGCCTTCTCTAGGGAACTTGACTGCTTATATATTGATGTAGTTGACTGCAAGCTCAAAAGCAAGTGTATGTGGCTGTTAACCTAGTGGAATACCGGCTTGAGTTAGTCCAGATGACTGGCTGTAGTCCTTCCACTGTTTCTTTATCTTTTTTTTTTTTTTTTTGAGATGGAGTCTCTGTTCCCCAGGCTGGAGTGCAGTGACATGATCTCAGCTCACTGCAACCTCCACCTCCCAGGTTTAAGAGATCCTCCTGCCTCAGCCCCCTTAGTAGCTGGGATTATAGGCACACGCCACCATGCCCAGCTAATCTTTGTGTTATTGGTAGAGACGGTTTCGCCATGTTAGCCAGGCTGGTCTCAAACATCTGACCTCAGATTATCCACCTGCTTTGGCCTCCCAAAGTGCTGAGATTACAGGCATGAGTCACTGCGCCTGGCCAATTCTTCCACTATATTTCTCAAGCATGACTTGACACTTGTTGAGTTCAGAATAAGATCCATCCTTCTAGGAAGAATTATTACAAGCTGGATTATGCCCAGGTGAATGATCAGGATGGTGACAAATGTAGATTCTATGAGAAACTGAATTCTTTGGGGAAATGATTGAATAAAGTTAAGATGTTCCAAACAAAAAAAGACAATATATAACTATTGCCCATCACAGTCAGCCCTCTGTAGATTCCACATCCATGGGTTCCACATTCACAGATTCAACCCAGAGCAAATGGAAAATATTCAGGAAAAATAAAAATAAAAATAAACTATAATAATAATACAAATAAAAAGAACTCAGTATAACAGCTATTTACATAATATTTACATTGTATTAGGTATAAGCAATCCAGACAGAATTTAAAGTATACAGGAAGATGTGCATAAATTGTGCAAATACTATGCCATTTTATGTGAGGGATTTTAGCATTTGAGGATTTTGGTATCCCTGGGGGTCCTGGAATCAGTCCCCCATGGATACCGAGGGATAACTATATTTTAAATGCTATTAGGTTAAGAAAGCAGGATTAGGAGTCTTGCTGAGGGCCAAGTTATCAATTCTAATCTGAAAGAGAAGAAATAGCTGTGTTCAGGAAAGAATGGTGCTAAAAGATAAACTCAGGCACATTAAAATCTTAAAAGAGTTTATTTGAGCAGACAGCAATTCATGAATCTGGCAGGACCAGTTGTAAACAGTTGGGCTGATTCAAGGAGACTGAATAAGCTGTTCTCAGAAGCAAAACAAATTATTTGATGGTTGAAGTCGAAAGTTTGCAGTTAGAGGTTGGTTGGCAGTTTCTGATTGGTTAAGATTGCTTTCCCAGGCTACAGTCATTCACTCTGATTTAGGCTTTGATTTGCTTACACAGGAACCCAAGGCATGGGGGCCGTCTCAGCCTAATGGCCTCCCAATTCATTTATGAAAACAATGGATTGAGATGGTAGAAATACATGTACATACAGATGTAAAAGTTAAACTACTAGACCTGAGTTACCAGTGTGTATGCACAAAACTCAACAAGGAATTGTTCAAGTGTCCATTCATTTTAAGAATGTAAATGGAGCCTGTTACCATTTCCTATTGCCTGAGCTGATCACAGTCACAGTAGTTAGTAATAGTGCAGTACATAGAGAAAGTGACTCCCAAATTAGAATGACACATGCTGTAAATTAGAATTATTTTTAAACTTGTGGAAAAGTGGGAGGTTTATTCTCACCAAGTCCAGATATGTTTATTGGTTTGAGAGCTTCTGCTCATTATTTCCCTGGTTTTGCATTCCCTACAGGCACCCTGAATGGTGGGGTTAAGAATAGAAAACAGAAGCTGGAGCTTCAGGCTCCTGGATCATGGCTATTTCACACTGCATACCCTTCATGCATTCAGCGTTTCTTCCTTTTCTCATGATTCAAGAACTCCAACATCCTAAGGATTTGGTGTCTAAAGAACTAAAAGACGTGGCTTTTGGGGACTTTCAAGTCTTGCTGATCTTCTCCAGAAGGGATAATCACCTCCTGTTGCCATGTCCAACAGCTTGCCTGTCAGTTACACACCTCCAAAGCTATGTTCATGTGATCCCTCAACGAAACTATCTCACTCACACATTCACCACCAGAATGAGATCGTCATGGCTGAGCTGGGACTTGCTCACCTTTGTGAAGACACTGTTAGATGGTAGTTTGCTTCTGAACCAACCCAGAATCGCTAGCCCAGAGCAGTAAGGCCAAACATCCACACCAAGGTTTTGCAGCAGGAGAAAGGAGGGCATTTATTTGCAGGGCGCCAAGCAAGGAGAATTGGGCAGCTCATGCTTAAAACCCAACCTCCCCAGTGACTTTTAAGCAAGGGTTTTTAAAGGCAAAGGTAAATTTCAGGAAAGCAGAAGTTATATGCAAAATCATAAATGTATACATGGAGTTTATACATTGGTTTGGCCTAAAAAGATGGCATATCTTGAAGTGGGGCTGTACAGGTCATAGGGAGATTCAAAGATTTTCTGATTTGCAATTGGTTAAGGAAGGGAAGATTTATCTGAAGACCTGGGGTCAGCAGAAGCCTTGGGCATGGCTTCCTCCAGGCCCCTCAGGAAGAACTTTAGAACAAAAAGCTGTGGTCAGAACTCAGTCCTCAGTTCCTCCTTCTCTGAGGTCTACATGACAGCAGATGACATTCTCCATTTGCTGGAGTTCTGGGTTTCTGAAAAGCAACTGAGGGACATGAGTTAAGATGTTATCTTTAGTGTATACAGGGAACCAAACATCTTGTAACTCTAACTTCCTTGACTATTATTTTAAGCCACTATTACCTTCTTGCTTATTAAATTGCTCATTTACTTCTCAGGGCTATCTAGGTGCCTGGAATTCCCCTTAAAGGAACTCAGGAATTTCTTTTCCTTTTTTTCTTTTTTTTAAGGTGGAGTCTCGCTCTGTCACCCAGGCTGGAGTGTGGTGGCACAATCTTGGCTCACTGAAACCTCTGCCTCCTGTGTTCAAGCAATTCTCCTGCCTCAGTCTCCTGTGTAAGCGGGTTTACAGGTGTGAGCCACCATGCCTGGCTAATTTTTGTACTTTTAGTAGAGATGGGGTTTCACCATGCTGGCCAGGCTGGTCTTGAACTCCTAACCTCGGGTGATCGACCCGCCTCAGCCTCCCAAAGTGCTGCGATTACAGGAGTGAGCCACCATGCCCGGCCAAGAATTTCTTTTATTTCCATTCTTGGGGACCCAACAAGCTAATGAGAGAAGTTGGTGCTCTGTCTCAGTTTAAGGAATAGGTGATTCTGAGTTCTGCTCCTACCTCTGGCCCTAAATTCTCTCTCACCCCTTCTCAGTCAGCTAATCGCTTCTGAGGCCACATTGGGTCTTTTCTCTCGTGCTCATTGCCAGTGAGCCCCGGTGTTTCTCACTGGGGCTAGCACAGAAGTGTCTTCACTCTCTCACTTCAATCATTCTCCCCCACCAGCCACCAAAGCCATCCTTCCCAAACTAAGACTTGACCATGTCATACCCTTCTGCTTAGAATCCTTCCATGGTCCTCACTGCACTGAAGCTGGTTCTTCTTACTTCAGCCCTACCCCCTTTGAAGCCTCATCTTTTATCAATTAATTTTTGTTTTCCTTTTCCTTTTTTTTTTTTTTAAGAACCTTCAAACACTTCCCATACTCAGTAAGTTTGATGGGTGCACAGGGCATTCAGGGAGATACCAAACTCTTACTCATTTGTCAACATCCCATTCAAAAGTCACCTCTTCTTCATGCTTTCCTGGAATGAACTCCACTCACCCTCTCTGCAGAGATACTGTCTTCCTACTACTTTCTGTAACCACATAATCCTTGAATTTTCCTCAATTTTCAGCCCTTATCACCCTGCATGATCAGTTTGTCCGTCTGCTTCCCTCCCTAGAACTCAGATCTCTCTCACATGATTCTCTCCTGGGTGTCCAGTGTC